ACAGTGCTGGGGTGTGTGTGTCTAAATGATCCAGACACGTATAAACTATTTGGTTTCGCTTTATCAGTAATACTTCAGGAGAGTGTTTTGGTAGGAAATGAGGTGCTGGGATGCATATTTTGATAAAAGTGCCATTGGAAGCCAGCACAAATAGACTACCATGGGCAGCAAAAATGAATGAAAGAAAGAAAGAAAGAAAGAAAGAAAGAAAGAAAGAAAGAAAGAAAAGAGTATCATCACAAAAAAGTACTGCTTCTGGGAGAGGATTTGTCTCAACTAGGGAGACTTTTCAGGCCTTTGCAGTGGTTTAAATCGATCAACCAACCACTCACTTCAGTGATTATTTATATTGTTACAGGCCATCCCCGAATTCCAGGGGACTTGGCACTTTGTGTTTTCTTTTTTTAATATTTCATTTTCATTTTTTAAACAATGTTCTTATACATTCACATCATTTTCAATCTACCTAGATCCCTTGGACTTCCCCCCAGCCCAGCCGGTTTCCAATTTCCTTCTCTCTATATATTTTTGCATCTAATTACATTTTCTAATCCATTTGATCTCCTTTTTTACCTTGACTCATATTACATTATAAGTGTTACAACAATCCTGGTAACGTTTTTAAGTATACACAGTGGTCTTTCAGATATTCTATAAACTTCTCCCACTCTTGACTGAATTTCTTATCATCTTGGTGTCTGATCCTCATGGTCATCTTTGCCATTTCGGCATAGTCCAGTATCTTGGTTATCCATTCTTCTTCAGTTGACACTTTCTCTTCCTTCCACTTCTGGGCAAGTAGCATTATTGTGGCTGTTGTTGCCTACATAGTCTTTGTATACCTTTTGGTATTTAATCTCCTGTTAACCCTAGTAAGAAGGCTTCTGGTTTTTGATAAAAGTTATCTTAAACATTTTTTTTTTCAATTCATTATATATCGTTTCCCAGAAGTCTTTTACTATTTTACATGTCCACCACATGTGGCAAAAAGTACCTTTTTTATCTTTACGCTTCCAACATAGGTTGGAGGTGTTTTTATACATTTTCGCTAATTTTACTGGAGTCAAATACCAATGGTACATCATTTTCATGTAGTTTTCTTTTAATTTTAAGTAAATTTTAAGTCCTCTTTCCACAACTTCTCCCGTAAGTTAAATTGTATATTATAACCCACATTTTTTGCCCCGTCAGGGTTTGTGTTTTCTTGGGGAAAATGAGGCACAGTAGAGACTGGTGTCTTTATGAAATGTGGTTTATTCACACATATTTACACCTGAGTTAGCCAGGATAGCTCAGTCAGTAGAGCATGCGACTCTTAATCCCAGGGTTGTGGAATCTAACCTTCTACGCCATGCCTACAATTCTATGATTCTATGATGTTTGATACAATGTGCTAATAAAATGGGGGAGAACTTCAGACAGAGACAGCCTGTTTCTACAATCCAGAAATAGCAGTCAGATTTTACTTTGATGCAAGAAATTTAGGTTGCATTCCCAAACACAGTTACTCAGGAGTAAGTCCTGTCGAGCTCAAATACCTCTTCCAAAATTAATATTTGCTTTTTGAGGGGGAGGGACCCTGGAGCCAACAAGGGACAACACCCCACTCCCATCGATGGCTGCAGGGAAGAGATGCTCCTTAGACCCTTGGCAGGGAAGAAAATGATTATTTCCCCTTCCACCACTACTTTGGTCCCCCATTAATTATTGCCCACCCAAAATCAATTTGCATTTTTAAAATATAAATGGCAAAGATGCACTTAATACCACATTGTTAGAAAATTGTAGCATGCACACACATAGCAGACTCACACTCCACAGAAAACCAATTCTTCACCCTTCAAAATTCAGCAAATATCCCCTGAGAAAAACCACACTTTATTTTAGCACACAGAACAATCCCAAAAGCCAACCTGGCTCTCCTAATTAATGACTCTAAATATTTCCCCTGCAGAAGGAAATGTCTTGGAGAAACCGTTCCCCAGAGTTCTTTCACTTACAAATCCTTCAAATCCTGTGACCTGGATTCAAGAACTGAAGTTATTGACCATCTCAAAAGAAGGGCTAGACTGCCCAGGCAATGCAGTCAAGTAAAACATTATCAGGGATCTTGGGAGACAGGAGAGAAGCAGCACTCTCCAATTTCTGTTGTGGACTGCCTCTTTCTGTGATGTATGGATGATGCTTTTTGGGTAGTCTTTGCCTAAGGGGCCAGGCAATTTCTAAAGTCTTTAAAAGTTCTTGCACACCTTGGTTCTGGGTCCTCGCCTCCTTGCAAGAGGAGGGGGGCTCTTTTGCAACAGAAAAATAAAGATGGTGTAGTGGTTAAGAGCGGTGGACTTGTAATCTGGTGAACGGGGTTCGCTTCCCCGCTCCTCCACATGCAGCTGCTGGGTGACCTTGGGCTAGTCACACTTCTCTGTAGTCTCTCAGTCTCACTCACCTCACAGAGTGTTGTGTGGGAGGAAGGGAAAGGAGATTGTTGGCCACTTTGAGACTCCTTGAGGGGTGCTGGAGGAGACTCTTGAGAGTCCCATGGACTGCAAGAAGATCAAACCCATCCATTCTTAAGGAAATCAGCCCTGAGTGCTCACTGGAAGGACAGATTGTGAAGCTGAGGCTGCAATACTTTGGCCACCTCATGAAAAGAGAAGACTCCCTGGAAAAGACCCTGATGCTGGGAAAGATGGAAGGCACAAGGAGAAGGGGACGACAGAGGATGAGATGGTTGGGTGGTGTCCTTGAAGCTACCAGCATGAGTTTGACCAAACTGCGGGAGGCAGTGGAAGACAGAAGTGCCTGGCGTGCTCTGGTCCATGGGGTCACGAAGAGTCTGACACACCTAAAGGACTAAACAACAAGGGGAGTGAAAGGAGGGATATCAAGTCCAAACTCCTCCTCCTCCTCCTCTTCTTCTTCTCCTTCTTCTTCTTCTTCTTCTTCTTCCCTGGATCCCTGCCGCCACCCATTTTTCTCTGACCGATAATTGACTGGGGGCAGGGGGGGGGAAGGACACACACAGTCATTTGATGGGCTGCAAAAGCCAAGCCCAATCTGCAGTTTGGCCCTTAGATGCGTGTCTTTAGAGGAGAATCTGCCACCCACACTTGATGTTTTCCTGGAGAGAAGCAGGAACCTACTACGAAGCGTGGAGAGAGTCTGACGCTATGGAAATCGCCTGCAATTTCCACGGGCTCCAGCAAGCTGCAGCCGTGCCTCAGAAAATACTCTCCCCTGGTCGAGAAACAACTGGGTTGGGGGCGGAGGACGACAGGAGCCCAGCGCGTCACTTCGGCTCTCTCTCTCTCTCTCCTCCGCCACGCTTTTCCTAGTTCCCAAACAACAACAATACAGTACAAACCTCCCACCAACAAGACAAACGAGAGAGCTGTCGATTTAGTGATTGAAAATATCCCCCTTGCTGCTGCTTTCTGTGCTACTTCTGCACACACAGAGCGCGGAGAGAGCTCTTCCCGCCCGGCTCTTTTCCCGAAGGCGGACATTTGCTTCGACATTGTTGTATTGAACGTGCTGCTTATTGCCTCGCCGTTGAATAACACGCTCCCTCCCTCCCTCCCTCCCTCCCGCTCCTCCATCTTCCTCCCTCTCCCTCTTCAGGGAGATTAGGCGCCGCTCTCTGCGCTATGAGAAGGCGGTAGAGGACGCTCCCAGGAAAGCAACGATAATAAAGGCGTCCTGTTGTTGTGCTATACTGTATTACAATTCTTCACAGTCGCTCCCTTGAAACTGCGTTGTTGGGACTTGGCTCGCCATTGACCAGGATATCTCATGAAATAAACGCCGGAGAAGAATCCAAAATGAAGGAAACGGGGAAAGGATGAGGAGAGCGCCCATTCTGGACTCTCTCTCTCTCTCTCTCTCTCTCTCTGAATGACCCGTGTCTTTTAACACACATATATGCCGTGTTATATGTGCATATATAGGAAGCGGAGGACACCCCCCTCGTTGCTGACACGTATTATTTCGCAATGCTCACGTTCTCAAAGCAGTGCTTTGGGATTCGCGACACGTCTAGCCTGCCTTATCTCGGCGCAAATCGACGCCTTAAAAAAAAAATCGCTTGCAGGGTTTCTGCCGTTTTTAACAGGATGCGAAAATTTGTCGAGACCGGTGACGGGGGGGGGGGGAATCTTTTGCAGTTATGGCAGAACTAGTTATGGCCACGATGTTCTCTCGTCTCCTCCCCGCTTCCCTCTCAGCAGGGGGGGGGGACGTGGCGGGTGGGGGGGGCACGGCTACAGCACCCCCCCTACACATTCATAAAAGGCTTTGAAAATGCGCGCACTGGCTTTCGCTTGCGTATCTCTTTATGGATATATATGGATATAATATTACATACTCGGCGTCTCTGTATTGATCCGACAGATGTTGCATATTACACCGTATGCACTAACGCTGTGTCGAGACGCCAAGTGTATTGACTGACTGTACTCCTATAGATGGTTGTATACTAGAGTGGCGGGAGAAACCCAGCCAGATGGGCGGGGTAATAAGAATATTAACAATAATAATGGTTTGGCACACAAACGCCCCGAATATAGCACGGTAGCTGCGATGCCTTCTCCGCCACTCCTAGATTATCCATCACCATCTCTTTGTAGCTGAGGGCTTGAGGCAGGGATATATAGCATGGAGGTCTCCGCCTGTGTTTCTGTGTGTTGGGGCAGCGGGAGGCAGCCGCGGCAGGGGCTGGCGACGCGTGTGTAACCGGGCTGGGTGTGTGTGACTTCCTGTGGTATATTTATGGCCAGGGCTTCGATTTCCGGTATCTGATACGAGCCCTCTCTCCTCGCACGGAGCGTTTAATAATATCGCTGAGGGGGAAGGAGGAGGGAAAGCTTTCTGCACACACATACACACGCGCGCGCGCGCACACAGTGTGAGGTGAGGAGGAGGAAAACCGAGCGCGGGGATGAAAGACACCTCAGGCACACACACACACACACCAAACACACACTCCTTCCTAGTCCGAACAATATATGACGGTCAGGAGCGCAACCGCGCCATTCAATATCACGAATAGAGCACCGGCTCCTCCCGCCCCTCGCGACACGCGCGCCCCGCATTCCTATGGACAGGCACGTGCAGGTAGGTGGATAGGAGAGCCGCGGCGGCGGCGGGGGGGGAGTGTTGGGGAGGGGGGCAAGCAGAAGCGAAATGGCGCGAGTCGGTGGAAGGGGCGCGTATGCTCTATTCTCTCTCGCGCGCGCACACATTGCGAAAGCGGGGCTGGCCGCTCCGGAGTACTTTTGACAACTGAGGGGACCTGAGAGGGGGGAAAGTCTTCTTCTCGCTCTGCCGTTTTGGCGGGAGGGGGCGGGAAGGCGGCTAGCGTTCAGACGAGAGAGGTGTGTGCGTGTGTGTGCGTGTGTGTGTGAGAGAGAGATAGGGTACTTATTGAATGGGGGAAGGAGGCGATATGGGTGAGGAGCGTCTCCCCCCCCCCAAAAAAAAACCCCAAACAAACAAATAAACACTGTGTCTCTGCGGTGGCCTCCTTGGAAAGCTCGAGCTCTCGACCCCGCACTTAACGAGGGGACTTGTATTGACCGGCATTTATTGCGCGAGCAAGTTTATTAGAGCATGAAAGGAACGAAGCGTTTGGCTCTCTTTCCTCCTCCTCTAGCGAAGGGGGAAAAGCAGAGGCTTCGAAGACGCGAGTCGAGAGATGGCTGAATTCAGAAGTGGGCCCGGAGCGCGCGAGGCAGGACGGGCAGGTGTGTCGCGGGGGTCGTGGGGAAAGCGCGTTTTCTGTGGGGTTGGAGGGAACGGGGCCGCGCGCGTTCGGGGAGGAAGCGTCGCTGTGCGTGGCTGGAGTGGAGTATGGCGTGGGGTCTTCAGTTATTAGCGGGCGCGTTATCAGCCTGGATAGCGCAGTTGGCTCGAGCAGGGTGCTGGTGACTCCAAGGTCGCAGGTTCGATCCCCGTATGGGACAACTGCGCATTTCTTCGTTGCAGCGGGTTGGACTAGATGATCCTCAGGTTCATGTAACAATCCTATGTTCTATATAGTATTTAGTAAGAAAGCTGGGGCAAGGTGTGGCGGGACAGGAGGATGAAGTGTCTCTCTTTGAGGCAAGCGGCGCCCTGCTATACATGCCTACTCAGAAGTAAGAGCCATCGAGCTCAACCTCTCTTGCACCCAGGTAAGTGGGTGAAGGACTCTTCCCACTCGGAAAGAGCTCACCCACTTCTGTTTAATACGGATCCGCACTAGCACACGAGAATCGTTATGCCCTGGTCCTGGAATTTCCTCGTGCAGAAATCAGCCTTTCTTTACTTTGACCTAAAAAGACGAAAAGGAGAAGCAGAAAGGAGGGGTGGGGGGCAAGAAGAGCTACAAGGAAAAGCTTTCTGCTTTGTTAAGTGGGGAGGGGGGATACTTCATTTCTCTATAGAGTCTCTAGTTGGTTGGAAGTTTTCTCTCTCGCGCGCTTCTCTTGCCGGGTGTCGCACGTTTGCTTTCGGCTTGTTCCCTAACAGTAGAAAGGCTGTAGAAAGGTGTCCCTCTTTGATTTTGGTAGCAAATGCATCCATTACAGTCCTCTAAAGCACAATTCTATAAACACATCGAACTCCCTGAAGCTTACTTCTGAGTGGGCATGTACAGAATTACGGCGTTCATGGCATAAGTCAAAGCCAGGCACTGCTAGCAGAACTAAAGGCTTAGAGTCCTAGCAAGAAGTTCAAGGGAGAAAATGCTTTCCTTCTCTCTCTCTCTCTCTCTCTCTGCTTCACATTTACTTTCCCTGCAACAGAAGGGGAGCATGGAAAAGTATTAGCACCCTTCTCTCAGTAATTCTAAATTCCAGTTAGTTTTTCATCCCGAATTAAGGTGATATTCAAGTGACAAATACCGAAACCTCTGTTAACAGAGGCCCTGATGTTATCTCCTAGGATGCTTTCACTATTTGCTCACTCTCTTTATACATGGGCGTAGCCAAGGGGGGGGGGCAGAGAGGGGCAGCTCCCCCATCAATAAAAATACATAGCTAACTGAGGTTCTGCCCCCCCACCAAACACCCATGTTGTCTTATCAACGTTTGCAGAACATTATATGTTGCATCCAGAGCATTCACTGAGCGTTCACCCTTAGTGTTTGCAGGGGCAAAAGTGGTTGTTAATTGAGCATGCATTCTGCTTTGTTTTGTGGGAACGTTAGAGAATGTTGCCTCAGTCAAGTGTTATACCACACTTTCCAATGCATTTCCCTGTCACTTTCCTTGTTGCAGGAAGTTGGACCATTTGGGGAAGTGATTTGTTGTGCAAGACCTCCAAATCAACTTTAGCTGCATAGCCTGATAAATGTTTTCTGATAAATTATTGAATCCCACCTGAAAATTGCAATGGTCCGGAAGTGCCCTCAGTCTGAAAAGTGATAGTTGGTAAACGTGTATGTAGTATATTCTCATATCTTTCTATGAAAGCTGATTAGCAGAATTTCACCTTCCCCCAAGATCCACATATTTTAGTCACCTTCGCTAACTCTGAAGTCATCTCTCTTTTGCCCAGAGTTTCTGGACCAGAGTTTCTGGTGAAATGGGCTCTTGTCCACAAAGTTTATGCCACAATAAATCTGTCTTTTAAGTTTCCACAGTAAGCTTTGTTGTTTTTATATAAGCTCTTGCTATTGACTCTTAACAATAAAGTTACATTAGTAAGGAAACAAAAAGAGTAGATGAAACAATGTATTTTCATCCACTTTGTGGCTCTCATTCTTGTGGGCTCTACATGGCTACAAATATTTGTATGTTTTTGAAGAAAAAAAGTATGAGTCATATTTACATTTTGGCACTGATTCTGTATATCCTTTTGGATTAAAATTCAGGATCCTATTTAATGTGTTTGTTTACAATACAGAACTGTATTGCTTTAAATTATTAGGCTCTCTGAAGTGTAGTATAAAAGTAAAGCAGCTTACTGAACTGGTTGTCATACTTACACGCTAATTGCAAAGAGACAAGACTTTTAAAACTAGATATACAATATAAGTAATAGAAAAAAGTATGCAAATAACAGTTATGTTGTTTGGGTTGCTGTTTAATATCTTATGAGCCATGGATTTGTTATTTGGGACACTTTCTGGAACCTAGCCAAACAGGTATGTAAGATATTTTGTTTGTTTTAAGCACAGTAGCTGAAGGATATGTGTGGCAAAATATTATACCGAGAAATGGAGTCACTAGTCGTACCTTAGAAGTCTAATGGAATCCGTTCCGGAAGTCCGTTCGACTTCCAAAATGTTCAGAAACCAAAGTGCGGCTTCTAATTGGCTGCAGGAAGCCCTGCTAGACATTCAACTTCCAAAAGAAAGTTTGAAAACCGGAACACTCACTTCCGGGTTTCAATTGTTCAGGAGCCAATTTGTTTGGGATCCAAGGCATTCGAGATCCAAGGTAGGTACGACTGTACTAGAATGTTGGATTCCAGCACCAGGGAGACCTATGTTCAACTCCCTTGCCCCCATCAAATTCACTGCATGACCTTGGGCCATTGACTATAACCTTCTCCAGGTATTTTGTTTCCATGTTAACAAGTAAGGCAGGGATGAATGCGCTTGCTCTGATCCACATCACTGTCTCTCTTGGTGAAGATTCAAAGCAGGAGACAGTTGTACTCAAGGAGGCTCCTTATGTCAGATCGTCACCCTCCTCCAACTTGTGGAGGGCAACAGAGCTAGTGCATTCATTCTCACAACCCTCTTCGCGTCTTAACTGAATACGGAAACATTAATGCCTGAAGAAGACTTACATCTCAGCCTAATATGCACCATAGGGTTGCTGCGAGTATAATGTAAGGGGACATTATGCATGCTGCTCTGTTTTCCTTGAAGGAAGGGCAGGAAAAGAATATGACAAACTCAGTGAGTAGATTCTTCCATGATAAATAGAACACTTTCTTCATTTGGCATACACCTGGGGTATACATTCAGTTGTTTCTTTTATTTGAACTCATATTGGCTCCTCCAAGCTTTGAGCAAGCAGCTCTTCAAGCCAACTTCCAGCATCACTGATTTGAAACTCTGGTAACTACATCTATATCTCACAACTTATTTCCCAGAACAGACAGCTGTAGAACATATGAGATACTGTCTTTTATTAGATTAACCAACCTGTCCAAAGACACATTAGAATTTTGAGTTTCACTGAATTCTTCATCAGGCAAAAAAGGGCATTCGGAGCATAAAAGTTTGGCTTAGCTCTTGGTTTAGACCTCTGTTTCTGAAGATTAAAGTTTAGCATGGCTAGAAATTAGATTACGTTTGGCTAGTGATGGGCACCTTTTATGAGTTCTCAAATTACAAACTTGTAAGGTTCATGGAAAGTCCAAGTAAAACAGCACAATATGAAATAATGTTCACCTAAAGTTATCAAAGTTTTTGTGATGGCACACACATTCTTTAAATAATTGCCTAGCCATTTGCCAAATGTCCATCTCAGCTAGCAAAAACTCTTTGTGTAACTCTTCCAACATTATACGTTATTGTTATTTATTTATTTATTACATTTATATTCTGCCTTCCATCCAAGGATCACAGGATGGTTTACAATATAAAAAACAGAAAATACACAACATAATTACAAATGAAACAATGTATAATGACACTGTCTTTAAATATAGTATCAGATTTGACTGGAAGAATCACTTGACTTTGCTACCATTTCATAAGTTGTTGTGATCAAATGTACTTTATTATGGTTTGCTTTAAAAATTCCTCTTGATGTTACTTTAATTAGTTTCTTCAAAGGAGCAATGGAGCAAATTTTAATTGAGCAGAAAACTGACAAGTTATAGTAATTTGATGCCTTGCCATAGCCTCCCCCACTTTTTAACTACATACTAGTCATAATGAGCCTAAGAGACAGGATCCAGTCTTTGAGAGTAGTTTACTGCTTTATGCAAAAGCAAACTTGGATTTGTCATAAGAATGTAGCAGAATATATTAAGAAACATGTCAGAGAGGATGCAATTAGATAAGAAAGAACCTTAAAACACAATTGTATGTAATTTGGGTTATAAACATTGATGCTAAGTGAGTGGGAAGCCATTAGTTTTGTTGAACTGGAATATGATTGTTGAGTAAATGTAAATTTCTATATAGGGAAAAATACTATTTTTTAAAAAAGAAGAATCAATGTATTTAGCATTAACTCTGGAATTTTGTACTCAATTCTGATGAAACTAAGCCTCCTAGGAGTCTTTTGCTCTAGGCAGTTTAGTTTGGTGAGAATCAAGTATACACTTCCAGAGTTAATGCTAAATGCCTTACTTCTGGTATATGAGCCACCATAGCTTCCAGAGGGCTGTAAAAAATTGTGTCCTGGGCTTTTTAGACCTGTCTATCCATGTACTGGGATGCGGGTGGTGCTGTGGTCTAAACGACTGAAGCTAGGGCTCGCCGATCAGAAGGTGGGTGGTTCGAAACCCCCACAACAGGGTGAGCTCCTGTTGCTCGGTCCCAGCTCCTGCCAACCTAGCAGTTCAAAAGCACACCAAAAATGCAAGTAGGTAAATAGGTACCCCTCTGGTGGGAAGGTAAACAGCGTTTCTGTGCGCTGGTCTGGTTTCGCCAGAAGCAGCTTAGTCATGCTGGCCACATGACCTGGAGAAACTGTCTATGGAAGTGGACAAATGCTGGCTCCCTTGGCCTGTAAATCAAGGTGAGCGCCACAACCCCAGAGTCGTTCACGACTGGACTTAATTGTCAGGGGTCCCTTTACCTTTACCTCTCTATCAGGTCCGCAGTGATGCTGTACAAGGATGCCTGTACAACCTGAATAAAGTTCTCTACCCTAAAGCAATGTGCATTTGGCTAAAGAGAAAGGCAGACTAAAGAGATGCAAAAGAGGAGACACATCTTGACTGAGATCAACATAAAATGACCTGTGATAGGAGAAGATGCATGAACTTGCAGCACCCTTCCGTCTCCTATGAATGTGAAAAGGGCAAAATCGTCTCCTTCCCTCCACAGTCATCATGCAGTGTTAGCCTTTCTAGCCAAAAGTGTAAGAAAAATTAGCAATAACCAAAACAATTTTATTATTTGTACCCTGCCCATCTGACTGGGTTGCCCAGCTTCCAGTATATACAGAAACATAATAAAACATAAAACTAAGACATTAAAAACAAAAAATTATTTCATGCATCCTTGGCACAATACCACTGTACTCTGCACTCTATCATACAATACCTATGTAATAGTGGTCCAAAGTTAACTGACAAACTTTTCATCAAATGACCTTGGAGCAACAGCTATTTAATTATAATTCTATTGACCTTTGTTCAAAATGTTGATTTTTTTGTGGGTAAAAGAAAAAAGGAAATCAGCCATATTGAATGAATTATTCTGTAAGGCAGAAATTATCATGTATCTGTGCTCAAGTATGTTTCCTTGGTAACTAATATACTACACAGATTCCATAATGAGTTGCTCAGTCTGCTAGCAACTGTGCATATTGCCTTGCTCAGTAATTGTGTCTTGAAGTGAGTACAAGGTCTTGTTTATATGACTATTCAAACACATGCTATCAAAGATAAATTACACTGAAAAATGGAAATCTTCCACCTACGGGACTATATTTCTGGTATATACAGAGTGATATATTGTATAAAAGTTCCTGTGTAAATAATGCAAAATATTTATTCTGCTTGAGAGATCTTGCATCTAAAGGTATAAGCTCATACATAATATGTACTGCTCATGCGCCCTAAGCCTGCAGTACAATAAGATCATAATTCATTGGATTCAGTTTCTATGTGCAATCTGATCCTATGTGCTTTTACTGAGAAGTTAACCCCAGTGAGTTCAGTGGTGGATAACTCAATGAAAATGTCAACTCATTGTGTGGCAGTGGGTGGGTGAAGAAGCAAATTCCATGCGAGGGATTATTAGGAAAGGGATTGCAAATAAAACTGTTGCTGCCTTAATGCCTTTACATAAATCTATGGTGCAACGACATTTGGAATATTGTGTACAGTTCCTGTTGCTTCATCTCAAAAAGGTTATTAAATTGTACAGCTTGAGAAGGTGAATTGAAATGATACAAGGCTTTAACCCCCTTGCGTACAGGGAAAGGTTTATGCTTTTTTTGACTTTATAGTTGGACTGTGTGTGAGAGAGAGAGGGGAGATAATAAAATGATACAAGTGTAGAGAAAGTACATAGAGAAAAGCTATCCAGCTCTTCCCTGACATAGCCCAAGATGCATGATAGGGGCAGCAGAATAAGATGGAACGCTGAAAGACATAGGAAGCAGCTAACCTGTTGCAGTGGCAGCGAGTTGTTAGCTTCCACAGTTGACCATGTTCCTGGAGCCATGGGAGAATAGCTCCACAAGCAATAGTCTTCTCAGAAGCAAAGACCTACTCATGTCCTAGGCAGGTGTGGTTGGAAATCATAATATGAAAGGAAGAGGAGGGATGAGGCCAAGGGAGGAGTTTGATTGCTTAGGGAGGCTACCAGGACCTAGCTGCCTGAAGAAGCCAATGCTGGTTGCCTGGCTTCCCAGAAGAGCTGACCTCAGGCTCTCCTAGTAAGAGATCGCGTCTGCTCTCTTTTGTTGACCTCTTCCTGAGCGAGCCAACTGGTACTGCTTTTAAAAGTGCGTCTAAAGACGACAGTATCTCACAAGCTGAGATCCATTTTTTTCTGTGCGATTAGTGTTTGAAGGGGAAAAAATGATCCTACCATCACCATTGCCATGGTATGGTGAAGCAGTCATGCATCATCTTGCCTCCTCCTGGTACAGGTTAGAGTTTTCTACCATCTACTTGAGCATCTTAGTAGATCAAGGACTTACCCAGAAGCAGAGGAATACAAGAAAAGTGCCTAGGACAGATTAGATCCACAGTAAGAGACTTTCTCATTCCACAGGTCAGTCAGGCTATTGAAAGAGCAGCTGTTGTCATAACCAGGAAGCTGCTTCCACATAATGTTCTGGCAACCAATTGAATCTTTATGTCTCAGGAGACAGAGTTCATCCAAATTAGCCATCCATCCTTACAAAGATTTGGGAGCCTTTACTAGGTAATAATCAGTTCATCAGTGATCTTTGTCAGAATTCCTAACTTGTCCCTGATTTACAATGCCACACATACAGTCACAGATGAACTAGCTGCATTTTGCACTGGATACTTGGCAAAGTGGTAGTATCTTTGTAGGGTGATATGATGCTATATCCTGCTCGTCCTTCTCTGTGATGGTTGGATATTGACTGGAACTGGTTTGGCCAGATGTGGTCTTCCTTATCATCCAGCCAGGTTTCAGTAATGCATGCCAAATCAGTAGCTTTATCCTGAATGAAATTGGATAACAGATGTCTTGTTTGGCAGGAGCCAATTATACCTCCTCTGTAAAGCGAAGGTGAAAAAATATTTGCTCATATGCTTGCAAGCAATTACATTGATTTGGAATGCCCTAGTATGGGTTCAGAACTGCCATAGATTTAGTACTTTTTTCACTCTGACATAGCATTTGGAATCCATGCAGTTCCAACAAAATATATGTAGTTATGTCATGTTTCCTCCCTGCTGCAAATTTGTTTGCAGTTCTCACCATGCCTCCGTTCCAGCTAGCGTCTTGCTAAATAAACTATTCTGAAGCATTGCATTGCATTCTAATACGCCAATCTGCAGAAAATTAAGGTTGGCCACCTTCTGGGTGCAATCAAAGAGAACTCTCTGGCATAGGATAATGTACGAAGTGGAATTTTATTTTTATATTTCCCTTTGGCATGAAAAATACTCCATTATGCCAAGCTTGTGTTTTCTGAACCAGCTATGCATGACAGCAGTAGAGCTTCACTCTAATACAGAAACAGAAACATTTGTATGGGAGGTTGTTATTCAACAGGGTCTTAATTTACAAGAAACATGTTACACTTTAATTGAGCCCTTTTCAGCAAGCTGCACCTGCTTTTACAGACACATCTTGTGTGCATATGTACAATTTCTGAAGGACGGTTAAAATCTGTTCGCTTTAATCAGAAGCCAAGGCCAAACAGAAATGCTAGTACTGTATTATAAAGATGGTATTATTACAGTGGTACCTCAGGTTACATACGCTTCAGGTTACATACGCTTCAGGTTACAGACTCTGCTAACCCAGAAATAGTACTTTGGGTTAAGAACTTTGCTTCAGGATGAGAACAGAAATCGTGCTCCGGGGGCGCGGCAGCAGTGGGAGGCCCCATTAGCTAAAGTGGTGCTTTAGGTTAAGAACAGTTTCAGGTTAAGAACGGACCTCCGGAACGAATTAAGTACTTAACCCGAGGTACCACTGTATATCTGCTGGGTGACCATATTTTATTAAGTAGATTGGTTGCTTAATAAGCCTAGGGTGATTGGTTGTTCCCCAAAAGGGATCTAATGGCAGGAAGGTACTTTCCCTGTCTCTGAAAAGTGATGCCTTTCAGCTAATATGAGGGGCAGATGAATGACAACATTGACTCTTGAACAGGCAGACTAAAATAAACACCTCTGTTTATGTTGAGGCGGGCAGTGGACTTGTATCTACCAGCTGTGTGACTTGTGACTGCTAGCTTCTCCATGTGGCGTATTTGGGGCCAAATAGGAACCCTTCCCCTTGGTGGAAATGCGCTAGGTGTGTACATCAGAATGTGCAGAGGGCTCCTTCTCATGCTTGGCAAACATATGGCCAGCAGAGGAGGGGCCTGGCCAGTGTGTACATCATAGAACAGGGGCCAGCAAACTTTTTCAGCAGGGGGCCGGGCCACTGTCCCTCAGACCTTGTGGGGGGGCTGGACTATATTTTGGAGGGGGAGAACAAATTTATATGCCCCATAAATAACCCAGTGATGTATTTTAAATAAAAGCACACATTCTACTCACGTAAAAACACTCTGATTCCCGGACCATCCGCAGGCTGGATTTAGAAGGCGATTGGGCCAGATCCGGTCCCTGGGCCTTAGTTTGCCTGCTCATGGAACAGAGCCAATGTGCAGGTGTAAAAGCAAATCAATATTTTGTTTCTATACCAATTGCTCAGTGTAGGTGTTCCCCTAAAAACTATGAGTGGGAAAATGCATAAGTACAATTAGGGAGTAGGGAGAAATTCAATTTTGTCTTCATTTTAACGAGAAGCCACCTACTTCTTGAAGCAATACATGAATCAAAATAAGGTTATCCTTTGGAATTCACTAAACACTTTTGGACTTCACTGCTTAGACAAGTAACCAGTATTGTACTGGCTAGTAGACCCCATAAAGGTAAACTATTGGGTTTAAAAAACCCATGTACCGGTATCTCAAATTCTGTTGCCACCTGTTCTCTCAACTACTAACATAATCGTTCCATTTATGTTGTTTTGGCTGAATGTAGCTTTTGGACAGACAGAAAGTATATTTTAACAGTGATATTGTCATGCTGCAAAACTGAAATGTCACAAGTAAAAGTGAGATGAAAGCATACTAAATTTATGACCCAGTTTGCACATCGTTTTAAACCATAGTTAATGCTTTACTGTGAATGCCAAGATTGCTCCCACTTTATTCCTTCACCTATTGTGAGCAGGAGTGACAAACTGTGGTCCCTGGGTTGGATCCGAACCTGGCATCATTGCACATTTAAGTGAACCATAGCATGCTTGGAAACCCAAGAACAATCTTTGGCTTCACTTTGTGGTTTGTTTTGAGTGAAACAAACCACCATTTTTTTGTACTTTTACAAACCATAGGCTTAATTCAAGCATGCTGGTATCATCTTGTTTCTCAGTGGCCTCTTTTGGGCTACAGTTCTACTGGTATTCACCAGCTGAATTTGCTCTTAGTGGAAGTTCAAGCTTACGTAGTGTAACTCTAACCTGGGCAGTATGACAGCAGTATGCTGGCAAGTTGTAAGGAAGAGTTTGAATAGGAAAGTATGCTGGAAGGCTTGAGTTCTTTCTTCCCTTTGGTATATAGGATATTGGGACTAGGTCATTATTTGGTCTGATCCAGAAGGGATTTTCTTATAGTATACAGTCGTACCTCGGAAGTTGAATACCTTGCGAGTTGAACGTTTTGGCTCCAGAACACCGCAAACCCAGAAGTGCGTGTTCTGGTTTGCAAACGTTCTTTGGAACCCGAACATCCGACGCAGCTTCCGATTGCAGGAAGCTCCTGCAGCCAATTGGAAACCACGCCTTGGTTTCTAAATGTTTTGGAAGTCTAAGAGACTTCCAGAACAGATTCCATTCAACTTCCAAGGTACGACTGTATCTGGTATAATGTAGAATATAAGACATTGTATTATCAGGTCAAGTTACACTTTCATACTGAATTAACTCAATGCAACACTCAAGTTTCAGTTACAGATGCTGGGTTTGGCATTGCTTTAGCATGTGACTTTATTCAAATGTTGTTCTGCTTTGTCCTTAATTGCCTGCTCAAGCTGTGAAAGTGCATAGTAAATTCTGAAAGCTAATTCACCAATATCATTTTCTCCACATTCATAATTGTAATGTACAGAGTTTCATACAGCATCAGAGCAGCGGAAATCAAGTTATAATATATATTTAGTAGAGAAACAGTTTCTTTTTGTCTTCGGACAGGGTTTTCAGGAGGTTGGCAAAGGAAAAACAACCGTATCGTTTCCACGTCATTCATTCATTACAATTATTTACTGGAAAGTATTTGAGGGTGGGTGGAATAGTATACTCTGTTGCTTTCACATCTTCCAGACATTTAGGAGAGGAAACTGAAGAGGCAGCACCTGATAAACATGCACCACATATAATAGCATTACTGGTAAGGACGTTTAATTCACTCTCCAGTTATGAGTTTGGTCAGATGAGTTGCATTCAGTTTGCAACACAGTAATGAGTGTTGTGCAGTCTCAAGTAATCAGTCACAGAACAAAATGGATTTTTTTTCATTAGGTGTGTATTATTTTTTGTATATGATGTAAATGTTCATCAGACATCTGAGGCCACTATCAACTGAATACTGTGTATTTTGGTTGCAGAAGCAGAAGAGGTGTTATTTTACCTTTCTGCACAAAGGCAGGCTCAAAACTTTTCCTGTTGTTTTAGTGCAATCATGAACCCTTAATGGGTTCTTTGAGGTGCAATGTAGCTTTGATCTGTTTATTAAAAAAATTAAAGCCAGCCTTTCTACTAGGGATTGAAAGGGTAGTAGTGTTTGGTGATGCATGTGCAGTGCTACCTTAAACTGGTATATTCAGATGCAAAGTCCTACTGGATTCAATGGTTCTGACTCCCTTGAAGTGTGCACAGGATTTCAGCCTTCATCTCCACCCCACACACTATCCCAAAACAGTTTGCAAAAGGTAATTGCTCACTGTATGTATTCTCAGGGCTTTTTTCAGTGTTCTTCAGATGGCAGAATGCACTTTACCAGTCAATCTGTTTGCAGTCTGTTCCGCACCTGTTGAGCAGGCAGTTGTAGCTGAAGTCTTGCCATGCTACACTTGGCAAAGCAACCTTTTCCCCAGAAGACTTGCCAATGGTAGCAGAATGGTAGTAGATGACTAGAAGGAATGCGGTGCTGTGCTATGGCTTAAGCAAATGGAAAATGAAATCCTTCATTAAAATTCTGTAAACTGGAAAGAACAAAATATATCAATAAAAATGGTTCACTGTTTATTAGATCACCTGCTGGTGATACTGCATTGCTACAGCAGTCTCTCCTGATTTAAAAACAAAAACAAGCAAAACACCAGTATTAAAATCCTCTTCTGTTAACGCCATTACACCGTTGAAGCAACTTATTTCCCCCCCCCCAAATTAACCTGCAGTTAGAGTTGTGTTGTATATAAATAGAGGCAGCACGAATTTTCAAACACTTGCTGCACTGTGTGAGGCAATAAAACTGAAACGGAACAGTAATTAATTCTCACAAGAGCAAAGAACTCGATATAAAATGCAGCTGAGAAGCTTCAAAGGAAAATATTTTGGGACTGCAGTGTTATTTTATTTGTACTAAGCACAATGTGAGTTGGCCCCAAAATGATGTTCTCTCAAAGTGTGTTCTCATTATGATAGATAAGGTGTGCAGAGGGTGTGTGTGTCTGTGTGTCTGTGTATTGCATCTGTCCATGGTGTCCCTGTCCATGTGCAAGCAGTATATACAGCATTTTATTCAGCATAGTTCAGGAACAAAGGAAAACATGTCTGCTTCCCTTCGTGTCCAACAAAACAGTATAGCAAAAGCAACATACAACGGAAGTTCCCAGCAGACTGTGCTGGAAATGTAAACAGGCATGTGACACACAACAGTTATGCATGACCCTTTTAAGGTGGAATGGAACTATATCCTAACAGGCTGGAGTGCTACTTGAGGACAGCACTGTGTTGGGCACTAAACTGGCCCCTTTGATGACCGCAGTGTTAGGGCCCTGGGTTATTGGTCTCTGTCAGCTGTGTCCCATACTGCAACCTACTTACACCCATCAAGGAAACTGTGCAAGGGAAGCCCCCCATAGAATGCATTGCCATAACCAGTATCCAGTTTTACTTGTGGGATTGCCTTGTTCCACATGGAGCATAGCATGAGAGGGGGTTAATCCTTAAAGCAGATTGGGATTCTGCCCGCCACCCGCCACCCAACATGCAAACTGCAAGCATTTCAATCTGAGTTGAAAATTTTGCCAGATTCCCAAAAGTGAAAATCCAGACACAAAAGTTGTTGAACTTCAAAAGAAATTTGAAGTTTCTGAGCTATTTTAAAAGAACGTGGGTTGCCATGTGTCTGGGTTTCCCCAAACACTTGCGTGATTTTCGGAAATTCCACCTGGACGCTATCTTGGATATGTCTGGGGAAACCCAGCCATATGGCAGCCCTGCTATAGGAAGTGATAGAGGTTTCAAGTCCTCACCCCTCATGCTAGAGTTTTGATCCCTATCAGTTTCTGCACTTAAGGGAACAAACATGGAGCTAATATATTGCCTAATTTGTGATCTAAAATTGTTTCACTTTGATAGGGTCATGCCCATAGTTAGACGCATGTTAAGCCCATTTGATTACAGCATGAATTGCAGCCTGAGTCCAAACATGCTTACTCAGAAGCAAGCCACAATGATTTCAAGTGGATTTACATAGGGCTGCAGCCTTGAGCAAGACAACAACATATGGATTGGATCCTTAATATCTTTGCTACATCCAAATGCTTAACCAACTAAAACTAAACCTCTGCAGAAATAAATGGCTATGCTGAGAAGTACCTTTTAAAACTTGTTGATTACTGCGTTTACTATTTTACATGGTTCTTTGTGCGAGGAAAACATAAATAACACACACACACACACACACACACACACACACGTAAAATGTGAAGTCAAATTCAACCGCAAACTTTGGTTCCAGTGTAAAGTTTTCTTGTGTCTCCTCTAGGAACAGAGCTGTTGAGCCTGCACCATGGAGGACTGCCTTCACACTTCTTCCGAAAACCTTTCCAAGCTGGTCAGCTGGGCCCACAGCCACGGGACCATATGCACCCTCATTCCAAATCTGAAGCACCTTCTTTCAGAGGGCTCACATGGCAACCTGACAGCTATGTGGGGCTGCAGCGCAGGCCATGCCTATCACTGGCCCCTGACAGCAACCTGTAGAGCAGGCTCGCAGGAAAGAGTATGTTTCCAGGACAACAGGAGCTTCAACTCAGACAGCCCCAGCCTCATGGGCATGCCCTCGGACACACAAGTCAGCTCAGTGGAACGCTACTCTGGGAGGCCAGGGAAAGCAAAGTTGGACTGCAACAGAACCAGAGACTCCTGTGATTTCTCTTACTGCAGTGAGCCCTCAGAGTTAGACGAAACCGTGGAGGAATATGAAGATGAAGCTACTCTTTTTGACATGGTCTGTGAGTCCTCGGTGACAGATGAAGATAGCGACTTTGAACCTCGCCCTCAAAGATCTCAGACCAATTCCCGCAAAAGGCCAGCCCCGGGCGCCACCTCCCATTCTCAGGTCGTCGACGAGAACAGCAGCAATGTGTCCGTCAAAAAAATCAAGCAAGAACTTCCCGAGGATTATTACATTGTGGCTAATGCAGAGATCACCGGCGGCATCGACGGCCCAGCGTTGTCCTTGACACAGATGTCGAAACCCAAAGCTCATCCAGCAGCCTCCTACCCTGTGCCATCTAAATCCACCCCTCATTCGCCACCTTCACTCATTGCTGAATATGATTTGCAGAACATCTCTGCCTCCTCCCAGAAGCCTCCCAAAGTAACTCTGGCTTCTCCAAGTAAAGGGCCTGGTAGCAGCCTGGCTGCCAACCCTCAGGCAGCCCTGCAGATGCCTGCCAGCACTTCCAATGCTGGCAAGCCGTTAAGCATTCCTTTATCAGCCTTGCAACTCCCTGGGCAAGAGGAGCAAGCAGCCTCAGAAGATGCCCTCCAGCCTGTGCCAAATCAGGTTCCCAGCGATGTAGCATTGTCTCCTTCTGCTAGCACAGAGCCAGAAGTTAGCTCCAGTCAGCAGCACCCAAGCGCAGCTCCCGCCATCACCACAGAGCCAATGGCACAGACAATACCAGGTATCAATACTTGGAATGCTTCTCATGATGTATTGGGGGTTTTTTTTTGGGGGGGGGTATTTTAAAATGGGGCCCTCTCAGTGATGGCTCTGACCTGGTGGAATGCTCTGTCCCATGAGACCAGGGCCCTGCAGAATTTAACTTCTTTCCAGAGGGCCTGTAAGACAGATCTATTCCACCTGGCTTTCAACTTGAACTTAGCCTGACCTTTTATTCCCCTTCCTTCCCTCCCCCTCCCCTTTTTATGAAGATTACCCACTCTGGGATCCCACAGCTAATTCTCCCCTGCTCTCCTCGCTGGCCCAAACAGGACTAATTTAGCCAGCTAGCCCTAGTGATCAATGTTTATTGGATGGATTTCCCCCCTAAATTGATTTTTGAATTCTGAATTTATTGTTATTCATGTTTTATACTGTATTTTATGCTATTTTTTGTTGTTGCATCAATTAAGTGTTTTAAATTTGTTGTTAGCCACCTTGAGCCTGGTTTTCTGAACAGGGAAGGGCGGGGTATAAATAAAAAATTATTATTATTATTATTATTATTATTATTATTATTATTTGAAGGTAAAAGTTTCAGTGCAAGTATGGATCATATTATAGGCTGTGCTTTTTCTCTGGCAGTATGCATCAGTATGCAGTACCACCACCTTTGGGGAGGGAAGGAGGAGGGAGGGCTCTTGGACCGTTTCAGAGCATTGCACCTCCTTCCCGAAGCCTGGGAAGCATTTGCCCAGCTTAAGGAAGGAGGTGCTAAGCTCTGACAGGACCCCAGAGCCCTGCCACCTCCTTCACAAAGCCAGGTGGGGAAAGCCTCTTCACCTGGGCAGCAGCACCCTAGTAGGTGAGTGGGTGGGCAAGGTAGCATCAATCAGCTAACCCGCCTTTACCTCCCAGCCTTGGTGTCAGGCCACACCCCTCCCCCGTTTGCTGGTTCCTCCCCTTGCTTGTTGGTGAGCGCTAGCACTCCCCCCCCGGGGGGAAAAACACTGATTATAGGTCACATTAAAAAAAGAAGAAAATGTGTTAACATATCGGTAAAGAATAAGTATGATGTTTCCTGCAAAGGTAGTTTCCTGCTTGGCAGGGGGTTGGACTCGATGGCCCTTGTGGTCTCTTCCAACTCTATGATTCTATGATTCTAGTTCACAAAGAGATCACTAAAGGGGTTTGTTTACCATGCCATGGCACAGACTTCAATGCGTCATGACAGTCAAATACAGTTAAATGGAAGTAAGACCCAGTGTTTCAGTGGGGCTTGTTTCTGCAGAATGGCTGGGCCAAGCCGCTGCATCATAAATTGTCTCTTATGTGGAGGGGGACATATGCCTGGTTCTTAGAAGGTGAGCCTTCTGAGAGGGAGGGATTTTTATCAGGGCTAGTTCCTGGGCAACCTCTGGCAGTGATGGGCAGAAATTGCAACGTGATGGTGTTCTGTTCCTGAACAGAAAAGACTGCCTTGCATTTCATGGAAGGCAAATGGGAGTCAAGCAGACTTGGTAGGGAACTCCACGATGAAAGAGTTCTACAGCTCCTACAGAGAAGGCTAGTGATAGCCTCTTGTCAGACTTCAGGCATAATCCAAGCAGGACCCCAGCTAAGCTCTTCTAAGGAACAAGAGGACTATACAGTACAGGAAGAGGCTCTCATTCTCATACTTTGACTTTTGAAGATCAAAAGCTCTGGGTTGAGCGATACCAGTGTATAAACTAAGTGCAACCCAGCAGCACTTAAGGGTTGCTGTAACTGACATCAATTGCTATTGTCCCCCACTCCAAAAAAAGAAAAAAAGGCTACTACAGTATTAATCCATTAAACAAAATCAACCCCTGTCATGTTAAAACTAATGAAGTTACAATTTGAATGTTAATCCAAAATTTTGTAGGTTTTGTCGATCAGTAGATCTAGGACTTCAATGGCTTAAGCTTGGGGTCTAGCCTAGTGAGTTATCCAGACTGTATATATGCTCTGATCCCAAAGCCCTTTTCAGGCATGGAAGGGAACAGAGATGTGATTGGAAAGCTCTATAAGTTATTTGTATTAGGCCAAGCAATCTGATACATATGCTAGGAGTCTAGATTTCTGCTCTTGCCTGGTCAATAGGTTTTCTTCTTAGCTTCTTATTGGAAATCCTTTTTATGAACTATTTCACAATTGGTTTCAATCTAACATTCTCTATGTTTTGGAATGTCATGAAGTGAAGTTTGAAATGTGCTTTTCTTTTCTTTGTTTTTTTAATGTTGCAACTTGACATCAGAACCTTCTAAAAGTTTTATTGCCTTTGAACCAATAGTATTTTTAATACTGCATCTTGTATATAGTTCCCTTGTTGTGCAAAGACAATTGGCAGCAAAATGTGAGATGTTTAAAACAGTAGGTGCTTTATTTGCTGACAAAAGGGAACATTTCTTTAGAGTATTTGTATCTGAATGTTGCTAAGACTTAGATTTTATTGAATAAATAGTGATTCATTGTAACTGTTGAGTGCTTTTATATGGACCTTGCAATCCTTTAATGGTAAAAAAAGTTTATTCATCCTAAATAGAAGTCTGGCTAGCCAAAGTCCATTATAAACCTTTTAATGCTGAAAATAAAAACTTGTTCACCAGTTTTATAACCTTGGTTATCTATGTAGCAAAAAGTATATTAAACTTAAACACAGGTTTAAATTTTGTCCTTTGCAATCCTCTCTACTCAAAAGACTTACCAAAGGGAATCCTTCATATTCCAGTCCTTTAGCGCTATGCGTATGTAAACCATAGACAACTTACCTTGCAGATTTTAGATGTGGTTTGAGAGCAGGGGCAAGATTCAGATAGGGCTCCCCCAAGCTTCCTTTTGATATATTTAAAATTAAATTATGAAAAAGACAAGATTGCAAAGAACATTGCTTGTGAACATTCCCTACTTTTTAATGCCTCATAATAACTATATTTTCTTTTTTCTTTTTTCAAATTTTATTTTCAATTTTTCATCATTAACATCATTCAAACTTAAATTCAACAATATTAATACAATTGCGGGATATTTTCAATACAGTTGACTTAACAGTGACTTAACAATATACTAACTTAACAATATAGCACTGCTTAACAGTGACATCCTTCTTTTTTTATAAAAAAGGAGAGTGGTTTCTGCCTTGTACATGGACCCAATTAATATTTTATAATAATATGCATGCAGTGTGCAGACTAGCATGTTGGCTGGAGAAACAGATACTTAAAGAGGTTCAAACATATGTGATCAGTGGTACAGTTAGGGTAGTTTTTGATTCTGGGTGGAATGATCTTGTAGCCCTGTCTCAACCGAATGGTCTTATGAGAACCCCTGTCTTTAGATGCGAATGTGTATTAGTTACTTCAAAATGTGGTAAATCAGCCCTACTGCTATTCATTCCTCAGGTACAGAACAAGCCCTGTCCTTATCTGAGTGCACCACTAGATAGTGATTTGGAATGTGCTGGGGCAACAGAGGCTGCATCTGTTGAAATTTCCTCTTCTGTATAACCACTAAAGGTGCACAAGTTTTGTCTTCCATTGCATGAGGGCCAGTTGCGTCTTTGATGCCAGTTGCTGATCACAAGTGATGTGAAAATTTGCTTGCTTGCTTGCATGATTGATAGAAGTACCGTATATCATCTATCCTAAGCCCCCAGGACTGGGCTAGGCTTTTTGTAGCATAAATCTTAACAAACGAATTATCAAAACATACATGCATACATGCGCTGCAGAGAAAGTTACAGAACCTTAACTTAAGATTCAGAGCTCTCAACCACTACGGCAAATTGGGCTCTGATTTTACATGACAGAATTTATAGCTCTTGGCTAAGGCGATTTCTGCAGATAGCCTCTAGGGTCACATCCAGATGGAAGTGGTCAAATGAACAATTAAACTACTGTTGTGGATTAATCAGATGCCCTCTCTCTCTTTCCTGCTTGAAATAAAGAGGAGTTCAGAGGCCACTGGCCATTCAGCATAAAAAATGGAGCCTAGCTCTGCCGCTGAGCTAAATATAACACGATCTCCTGGCACACCATTTTCAGTTGAAGAAATGTCCAAACTTGTGGCTTTAATGTAATGTACTGTGTGCCGTTGGGACAGGGTTAGCTACAAAACCAGTGGGTATATATGAGTTCAGACCTGTGGCTACCTGCACACTGCCCAAAAAGAGGAAATGCAACACTAAAAAAAAAGAAAAGACAAAAGAGAACACCAATTTGCATGTGCTAATTTATAAGCATAGGTGCATATTTAGAAGTAATTGCTATAATATAAAGAGAAAGCACAGTACATTTTCTCTCTCTTCTGGGGAAGACCTGTGTGCCTTTCAGCCTTCTGTGCTGTCTGTTAGGGGGCAACTCCCAGCTCCTGCTGGTCATCCTTCCTATGGTTCTTTGTTATTAAACTGAACCTGGGCCTTCAAATACAGGGCTCCCTGTACAGAACTGTACTCTGATGACCTTTCAATAGAAGGTTCTCCTCTGTAATGTAGGACAGCTGGTCATCTTTCTGCCTCAGTTCCAGTGCCGGATTTACGTATAAGCCAGTGATGGCCAAACTTGACCCTCCAGCTGTTTTGGGACTACAATTCCCATCATCCCTGACCACTGGTCCTGTTAGCTAGGGATGATGGGAGTCATAGTCCCAAAACAGCTGGAGGGCCAAGTTTGGCCATCTCTGGTATAAGCTAAACAAGCTATAGCTTAGGGCCCCACTCTCTTGGCCCCCCCCCAAATTTTTTTAAACCCTGGATGTACATTTCCAAAATATAAGATAAGTTCAACAATTACTTTGATGAAATACATATTTTGTTATGTGCAAACGGCTTTAGATATCTATTAGGTCCATAAATTACTGTATACCATATATTCAACACAAAAAACAGCGGCCATTTGTTGTTGACAAAGGACAGCTGGACATATAAAGAGCCCCATTACCTTCAGTAGCTTAGGGCCTCATCAAACCTAAATCCAGCCCTGCTCAGTTCTACACCTTAAAAAAAATCAAAATCAAAGGATATTTGCAAACCCTGAAGTACTTACTTGTTCATTGGGCAGGGTGAAGGCAGGAAAACTAGCTGGGAGAGTGCTGATTGTATTCTGTGGATTTGTGATAAGTCAGAATGCTTAAAATAGGCAATGCTTAAAATTTAAAATATGTGACATCCCTTTCACAGGGCAGATGGGAAGAATTCAGATTTCATTTGTTGCATACTGTTTCCTCTGCAATGAACTTTCAGATTTTTGTTTTTGTTTTTGCAAAGCTGATAGTGCTGGCAGATTCATTTGCAGAAAAGGAATTATAAATCATATGCTTTACACTCCTTCCTTGCACTGGTGATCTTTGCTTTATCCCCCACCCTACCCTGCCCTATCATGCTGTCCCTATCATGGTGTCCATCTATTTATATTACTGCCAGTAAGTACTGACAGAAAAATGTATGGCTCTGTGTGCTGGGATTTCCTTATGGCACCCTGGCAACTGTTTGCTCCCATACCCAACAATCAGAGCATTTGTCTTCCCCACCCAGTACAACATGGTGTTGCTAGAGCAGATATGTTTATGTGCCAAGTTTCTGTTTTCTTTCCTCTTGCTCTGTAGTCTGGCTCCATAGAAATTCAAATAGACACACTGCTCCCCGGCCTCCTGTATTGTTTGGGGTTTGTCCTGTGAAGCTCACTTGATTTAATTGCAACTCTGGGAAAACAAATTAAGAGTCACAAAGGTTGGTCTTTGCATTCTCACTTCAGCTGTGCATGCATATGCTGTTTGTTTTGGCTTCCATTCACAGATATACATAAACACACACACACATATATATTAATTCTGCTGCATTTTGTCTTCTGGCTTATGATGGCTGTCAAACAATGAAGCCCCAACTAAATCATGCAACAAGCCTACTGCCAGTTTTAGGCTTAAACAAAAGTGTGAATATTTATTACAGGAAAGCAAGGAGGCATCTGAAAACCACACAGCAAAACAGATTATGTATAACATAAGGCAATCGTAAATGTCTCCCTTTCAAAATGATGAATTAAAAACATCTGAGGTGATTCCCCCCTCCTCTCCAGAATTTAATTATTCAGTTTGTGCTATTAAGAGTCCAGAAACAATTATGGGAGGAAGGGAGCGGGGAGACGAGCTGAAAAATATCCATTGCACAATTACGTTGGGGATATGCACAAACACTGCCCTTTAACAGCAAGTATGTATGAAGAAGAAAAGCTGAGCCAAGTCCAGAGTTAATTAGATAAGGAGGGTAATGGTTATGGCCAATGTTCACTAGCACAATTTATGAAACTCAGACTGCCACCAATTTACATGTTTTGGATGTTCACAGACATATATATTTCCACAATCAACATGTGTGTGGACTGATGAAGTCGAATTTGAATGGAGAAAACATGGATTCCAAGTGAGATCCAGCTCAAATGTGAACAAGTCCCAAAAGTGAGGGTAAACATTGTAAATAAATATACTCCTGGTTGCATAGATAATTAAGAAATATATAAAAGTATGAAGCTGCATTATGCTGTGTCAGACCATTGTTCCATCTAACTCAGGGTTTCCCAAACTTGGGTCTTCAGCTGTTTTTGGACTACAACTCCCATCATCCTTAGTTAGCAGGACCAGTGGTCAGGGATGATAGGAATTGTAGTATGAAAACAGCTGGAGACCCAAGGTTGGGAAACCCTGAGCTAGCTCAATATCGTCAACAATGCTGAAACAGCAGCTTTCTCAACTTTCAGGCAGGAGTCCTTTGAAGCCATACTTGGGTGTGCTTCAGTTTACCTCAGACCTTCTGCATACAAACCACAAGATCTACCCCTAAGCTATGAACCCTAGTTCATAAACCCACTAAAGATTAGAATCTACTCCAGAAAAAGTGCAGCTTTGGTATTCAGCTGACCAATGAAAAAGTAGCCCACTGCTCTGCTTCCAGATCTTTATTTGTTGTGTTTTTGTTGGGTTTTTGTTGTGAACTGTCTAGAGCTGTTATAGGGAGAGACATGCTATAAATATTTTAAATAAAATAAATAATAGGTCCCCTGGAAATTCAGAAATTGCTGATACTAACAAGTATCTGCCTGATCTTGATGGCAATGGCTCCTGATTTTGGATATCCTTTATTCCTGGCAAGGCTTTACCCCCTTCCCCCACCCCAAATTGCCAACAGCATTCACTGGAGAGGTTTCTAAGTTTTCATATTGTGCCTAATCAGAAAGAATGCAAGCTGGGGGAACGGGAGGCACATTATTTTTTTAAAGTCAGAAACTTGATCTGATGCAAATTTTGAAAAGAAAACGGGAACATTCATGTAAAAGCAGTCTTTTTGTAGCTATGCTCATTCCAAGGTGAGAACACCATGAAAATGAGATTCCCTGGGCAGTTTGTATGGGTTCTCTCTGCACTATTAGAAGCTGACAGCAATAGCTCACATGTTATATCTTTACATCTCCAGTGGATATAACACATAAATCAGAACAGAGCATCTGTGATTCACTACCTTTGGCAATATAAGAAATCCTGCTTAGAGCCTAAGAACTGTGTGGACCCTCTTATAAGCAATATATCACCTGAGTACTGTCAGGTTCTACAGAAAACTCCAGAGTGTGATTTACTATATTAATTACAGTCTTGTGGCTTCGTGCTGCTAAGCCTGAAATTACAACCGCATTCCAAAGTTGATTTAAGAATATTATTTGGTTAGGAATACAGCACAGCTTATTATGATTAATGTAATAAAATATTTATTCCATATTCTGTTTTTTCTTTGTTTCTCTGTTTAGTGCCCTACTTAGGAGGCCTGTACAAAAGTTGTAGCATCACATTACCAAGGCCAGACTGGATGCGATGGCAACAATATGCGTCTGCCCTATTCAGGCATAAAGCATGTAGTGTAGAGGCAACTCCCAATTTACACAGGGGTTATGTTCCAAGGCACTGTGCATTTAAGTGAAATTGCTTATATTTGAAACACCCCTGAAAAGGCCTGCTATATACTCTATAACAAGGTTGAAATCAGTACCAATTCCTCTTATCCTTCTCCCCACATGTTATGCAATGCTGACACACCATATTAATTGATTTTACCAGGCTGTCAGATGAAAGGCAATATAAGGAATATAATTGACATTATAGAATATCTGGAGGTCAGGAATGAAAAACAAGCGGCGCTGGTGTTTATAGATGCAGAGAAGGCCTTTGACAACATTTCATGGTTATTTATGAAAAAAACACACAATGGAAATGATAAATTTTGGAGAATCATTCTGTAGAGGAATTGACGCAGTTTATTCAGACCAACAGGCCATGCTGATTGTGAATAACATGACAACTGAAAAATGTAAAATAACGAAGGGTACAAGACAATTCACTAACAGAACAATTCTATATATGTATTATGTCAGGACCAGGAGATACACTGACAGAATTACCACCATATCCTGTTTATGGAAGGAAGGGGGAAGGCACCCAACCGGAACGTTTTGTGTTTTTATGCTGTGAATGACCCTTTAATCTTTGGATGAAGGGTGGTATGTAATAAAGAAAAACAGGAAAACAGCACCCTCTGCATCCCTGGGCATGCTGCCATACCCTACCAATCAGGAATTGCGCTGGCGACGCTGTCCACATGCCCCCCAAACACGGAAGCAATCATTCAATGGATGATGATTGGGAAGACCCTTTACTGATAAACACATAGAATAATAAAATTGTGGAAGGGACCCTGAGCATCATCTAGTCCAGGGGTTGTCAACCTGAGCCCTACTGCCCACTAGTGGGTGTTTCAGGATTCTAGGTGGGCACTAGAGGGTTCTATGGCACAAGCTCAATCCTTCCATCGAGCACTGGTGGGCGGTAAGGAAATTTTACCATCCAAAAAGATGCATTAGTGGGTGGTAGGTATAAAAAGGTTGTCTACCCCTGATCTAGTCCAGCCCCCTGCAATGTAGGAATATGCAGCTGTCCCATATGGGGATCGAACCTGCAACCTTGGCGTTATCAGCACCATGCTCTAGTCATCTGAGCTATCCAGGTGATCATAATAATACGAAAACCCATTTATAGATAAGCATCTGTGTTGGGCAGTGGCTTGATATATAGTAGGGTAGCAGGTACAAGTGTCCCTATATGGCACTAGCTTCATGCTAGGAATGCATTCACTCCTTGCATAACTGTCTGCCATGGAGATTCCAAGGACTCAGAATCCTGTCTAGAGCAAGTAGGTTAACAACCCTACAGAGGACTATCTGGGAGCATCCTGGCCATTGCTGCCTCTAGGGGTCCTACTTTGGCTCCCAAGGCTCTTTATCCCCAAATCACACCCACCTGCCCCACCCCCAATATTGTATGTCACATCACGGGTGAGGCAGGTAAATGCCAGCCTGTCATCACATTGAAGTCCATTTCCAAGCGGCAAAGTCAAAGGGAGGGAAATTTCTTGCATCAGGTCTTGTGTTGCTGTGAAGTTGCACTACTGATGGTGTGTAGGAATATGTAATAAGTCATAAATATGCTCTTGTACTGTGCCACTGACACCCTGCCTATATAAGTGCTGGAATATACTGAGAGTCAGTGTGGTCAGTTGGTTAGAGTGTTAGACTATGATTTGGGAGACCAGGTTTCAAATCCCTGCTCATCCATGAAGCTCACTGGGTGACAGTGGACCAGGCTCCATCAGTCATTGCATTAAGGCTCTTCAATGCTGACCAGCGTATTGAGTATTCATTCATTCTGACTGGTTTGTGAGAAGGTTATAAGGCATTACATCAGGCAACCTTCATCCCACACTTTCCATTGCATTTTCCTGTTACTTCGCTTATCACAAAAAACCCGACTTTTTTGAAGGGGTGGGTGGGGAGTGGGCTTGTTGTGCAAGAACACCAAATCAACTTGAATTGCAGAGCCTGAACTTTTCGATATGTGATTGTATCACACCTCAGAATAGCAACAGTCCAGAATAGCCCATTGTCTCTCAAAAGCCAAGTCATGTGCGCTGGACCAGGAAATGAACTTTTTATAGCATGAGCCTCTGCTCTGATTTATTAATTGAAGTAGGTCAAGCAAGAATAGAAACAATTATTGAAACTTGGCACCTGGGAATCCAACCAAATTCTTAGTGGATGTAAGTAAACTAGAGTCAGTGAATCTAAGAGAGAAGTTATACCATTTGAAATCTGGTCTGTCATCTTCAGACTTTTTCCAAAACAAAACAAAAAACAGAATAATAACTATTTCTTCTGTAAATGTAAAGGCTGTAACTTGGATGTCATAGCCAATCAGGGGTCAGTGACTGGAACTGGAACACAGGATAACCAGCTTCCTCTTCCTGCCCTTCCCAGAAATGACTGGTGACTTTTTAGTGCTTAGAGCAGCAGATGATGCTCTTCACACAGCCCAAGGTTGGTAAAAAACCAGTGAAATAAGCAAAGTGATTTGATGGCTTGCTTGCCCTGTAATGGCATGCAAAATCTCCCACCTGAAGAATGCTGCTCACACTTCCTGCTGGTAAAACCAACCCTGACAGCTCTCTTCTAATCTTAAAGAGGGATTTCCCTCTTCCCTCGCTTCAGCTGCTGATTGTCATCATACCTGGTTAAGGGCCAGCAAATTGTGGTGAAGGTTATTTCTAAACTCAGAACCTGTCACTCAACAAACTCCAGATCCCTAAACCATGTCTAGTGGCTATATAACTCCAAGAGCATATATTATATTTGCTAATGTTGGAAGAGTTGATGAGACTCTTAGTTCATAATAGCATAATAGCCTCATTGCAGGCTGTCATTCACTTTCCTCATGCAAGAATTAAGAAACCCATAATCCATGTGACTTATGTTGTGACAAGCGCTGCTATAATAATTGGATGACTGTCTAGACATAGACAGGAGGCTGTTTTGGTATGGTATGTTGGCAGTCAAAATTCTGCCGACATGGAAAGTTCTAATTGTTGAGTGTGTGTGTTACCTACCCTGAAGAATGGTCACTCTGAGTGGCTTAAACTGGAGTTCCTTTATTCTATACTGAACTCATTCATTCATTCATTCAATCATTTAGCATTTGCATTATTTTTACTTATTTTTGTAGAAGTAATTTTCTGAAGACTGGCACAATATAGCCTCTGAAAATCTGTGATTGTAATGATCACATTGTGGCTGATCAATTTCATGTTGCTATAGCAGATTACTCCCCCACCCCCAATGTAACTAGGTGGCATTTGTCAGTGATGTGGGACGTTGTGCAGGTTTCTTCTGAAACTAATGTGTTTGAAGCTTCAGGATCAATGTCTTATATAGAGACGGTGACATCAGCGATGGAAGAGACATTAACAGAACAATCCTGCACATGTTTACTCACATGTTAACCCCATTGAGCTCAATGTCCTATGTGTGTTTACATGGGCATGCACTGAATTCATGTGTATAGAATTGCAGGGGTTCAGCACATTCTTATGCATGTTTACTTGGAAGTGAGTCACAATGTGTTCATTGGGGTTAACCCCTAGTGCATAGTATCAGAATCTTACAATACAGAAATTGGAACATTCCATTGTCAAAGGTACACTGGTATTATTATTATTATTAGTAGTAGTAGTAGTAGTAGTAGTAGTATACCGCCCTATACCCTTAGGTCTCAGGGCGGTTCACAACATGAAATCACAATATAAAACACAAAATACATAATAAAAACAAAAACAACCCAATAATCCCCCTCAACACATTTTAAAAGGGCATTAGATGCCAATCAGCTAAAGGCCTGGTTAAAGAGGAATGTTTTTGCCAGGCCCCTAAAGGTGTGTACAGTGGTACCTCGGGTTCCAGACATTCAGGTTACAGATGCTTCAGGTTACAGACTCTGCTAACCCAGAAATAGTACCTCGGGTTAAGAACTTTGCTTCAGGATGAGAACAGAAAGTATGCTCTGGTGGTGCGGCAGCAGCGGGAGGCCCCATTAGCTAAAGTGGTGCTTCAGGTTAAGAACAGTTTCAGGTTAAGAACGGACCTCCAGAACAAATTAAGTTCTTAACCCGAGGTACCACTGTAATGAAGGCGCCAGCCAAACCTCCCTGAGCCTCCACAAATGGGCCCATTCTGGGTGGCCGCCGTCTGGATCTCTCAAGGAGGAGGCACACAAAGAAGGACCTCAGAGGATGATCTCAGGGTCCAGATTGGCTCATATGGAAAGAGGCGGTCCTTGAGGTATTGCGGTCCTGAGCCATTTAGAATGAATGAAACAGGGCAAAGTCACGGGCAGGATGGAGACAGCACAAAGAAGGGGCATAACTGGCACCACATCTCACCCTTTTAATCCACACAGATGCCCCTGTTGATGCCTTAATCTTGCACCAGCCCTAGGCCTGGTGCAAAAAAAAAAAAAAAATCCCTCCTATTGACTTTGGTGGGGGGGGGGGGAATTGTATCCATGATAGCCCTGCCACATCACCATGACAGAGCATAGGATATAGTGTAACTCACCCTTCAACAACATGGTGCCCTTGGTATCTTTGGACTGCAATCCCCATCAACCCCAGCCAACATGACCAATGATTGGGGGTGATGGAAGCTGCAGTCCAGCAAAACCAGGAGAACATCAGGAGGTAGCTCCACTCATAACCACATCATGCTACCACCAGAATATAAACCTGTCACTGGTAGACCATGGCCATATCCGCACCATACATTGAAAGCACTCACCTACCACTTTAATAGTCCTGTGATTCCAAATCTAGCCTGGTCAGGTGCAACATGCTCTCCTTCTATCTCACAAAACAACTGAGCATCCAAGTCCAGGGACCGTGTGTTTCAGCTGTTTGCTGTTGTTCATTATTCTCTCTCTGTCTCCCTTTGCATTCCACAGGCCACTCTCCCACAGGGGCAGGATCTGCCCTACACCCCCTTTCTGTGCTGACCACAAGGGAGACCCACCCCATGACAAGTAGCGGTGACCTCGGGGGGGGGGGTTGTGACCTACCTGCTCCTGGTAGGCTCCTGCACCCTTGAAAATCTCTTTATGACAGGCAGTTATGCAACAGGTGAAGGTGTTCCTAGCATGGAGCTTGTGCTAAAAATGGACCTGCTGTCTGTTGAGCACGGAAATCCTGCTGGGGCAACTGGTTGGCAACTCTCCCTGTGTATCTTTCTGGTTCACAATCTTCTCCAACCTGGATACTGTTCAATAAAGGCATTGGCAATGTCGCCTGCATTGTTTCGTTGACAGATCACTATCTCCCACCCCCTCCTTGTGTGACCTAGTTCCAGCTAGACTCTAGGTGGGGCTTTTGATGGGCTCCATGGCTCCTCCACCTCCTCCACTCTGTTTACTCAGGTTTCCTAAACTGGGATGGAGGCTACCTAGTTTCAGGCCTACCTACTTTCAGGCTACCTAGGTGAAATGGGGAAGAGCCTCCACCGGGTGTCTTCTTCTTCTTTGGTGACCACTCATAGCTGGATAAGACAGCCTTCCATGAATATGGTCTTAACAGTCTTCCTGTAGGTGACTGTGGAGGCGAGTTCTGGATCCACACGTCCTTCCACAGTGGGGACATAGGTTTCTGGGCAGGAATTGATCACAGTGAGGGTTTGCCAAACATGCCTTCCTGTTAGCTCGTTTCCGCCTTTCGTCCTGAGTTTGTGCTTCTTCAAAGTTCACAACGCCTTTGGTGAAGGCTCTTCTCCAATTGCAGCGCTCACAGACTAGTGATTCCCAGTTGTCGGTGTTTAAACTACATTTTTTAAAAAATATTTGCCTCGAGAGCATCTTTAAACCTCTTTTGTTGCCCACCGGCATAATGCTTACCATTCTTAAGTTTGGAACAGAGTATTGCTTTGGAAGACTGAATCAGGCATCCGAACAACATGATATGGGATAAGGCAGTCAGCTGCAGGTGAAGGGGTGGAGAGCATAGGAGCCAATTCCTAGGGGCTGAGGTCCCTTCACCCCCAATAAAATATTTGAGGGGGTCAGGGTCCGTCCCCCCCAAAATTGATGGACATTGCATTCAAATGGTGTGGGTACACCACATCATATGATTAATTATGTGGTGTGGGGCTTACCTGGGCACCACCCAATATTTTATTCAAATCAGTGCCTTTGCTGAGCACTGGAGACAATACAGGTTTCTTTTACCGCATCTAAAACCAAACCAAAACCTGGAAAACATTATTTTATATATATTTCAAACAGATACGGAATCATACAGCAGAAAGAGGGAGGACATGGATACATAATAATACAGAGAGCCTCTTTTGCATTGAAAATAGGACAATAAAACTCCTCAAGCCATTTAGTCACAGCCCTTGATCATAATTCATTTGCATGGGCTAATTTCATTTTAGAAAACATTTAGTCCTTGTCACAGTGATCAACATTAAATATGATGTCGTGTCAAAACAGCTGACATGCAAATTGTATGCCTGTCAGCATTTCACAATAAGCATGAAGTCAGCTGCACACACGCACCTCATCTCCTGCATCCCATACGACTGGAGACCCCAAAGCACTGCTTCCTCCTCCTCCTCCTCTTGCAGCCTCTATTGGACCAAGTTCTTTTGGTGTGGGATTAGACCAGCATACTGGAGATTTAGTACATATAGCCTGCACTCTTTCCTTCAACAATGCACTGTTGTTTCAGGGGAGGGGTTTTTAACCTTTCCCCCATGATGCAGTCCTAATCAAAACTGTCTCCTTATTATGGAAACTTCAACCAAGGGCTAACAGCAGCTTCTGTTGGCATAGTCTGACCCCTTCCTTCGGTAATCCTCACAGAACTCTAGCCAAATGGTTGCCATTAATTTGATTTTGAATTGATTTTAGAATGAATTGATTTTAGAATACAGTTCAATTAATTGATTGTGATTTTATGTAAACTGTGTTACTTTTATTGTTGTTAGCCGCTTTGAGCCCAGCTTCAGCTGGGGAGGGCGGGATATAAATAAAATTATTATTATTATTATTATTATTATTATTATTATTATTATTATTATTGCCAGCTCCTAGTGGCAGCTGAGGTTCCTTCACCTCCCCCATAAAATATTTGAGGCCCCCACCCAAGTTGATGGGCATTGCTACTTAAATGGTGTGTGTGCATCACCTCTTGTGATCAATTATGTGGGGTGGGGCTTATCTACCCCCCTTTTTTTATTCAAGTTGGCACCCTTGGTAGCTTCTTTTGTTTTTGTGCGGGGGGGGGGCAACGAAAGTGGCATGCTAATAAGGTTAAACACCCTTCCCTGTGTGCTGTGTTCCCAGTCTTAGTAGCAGTAATAGTAGTTAAAGTATCAATGAAAACCCCTTTCACAATGTAATCATCATACAGTTATAATACAGTAACAAACACACCGAAACTCATATTCTCTCAATGGTTTGCATGTTAAAGAACAGAGATCATGATCAAAGGAAATGGAGTCTGTTAACAATTTCTATGAAAAGAGAATTAAACATATGAGCTGGCTTGGATTATTTACTTCTATAAATCCCAATTATGATCCTACTCTGGGGCCAAGGTTGCTGACAGATGAATGTATGTTTAAGTGAATATGAAGAATGAAGGGGATACATGTTCTTGAAAAAAGCTGGAAGTAATAGCTATGCTCATTTATAATGGTTTTTACTTATTGCTGGTTTTAACTTGGCTAGGAACCATGATTGAGGGATGTGCTAGAAATCTTATCAGAAAGACCCAAACTTTTGTACACATTATTTGGCTAGAGAACTGCACTGCAAAATTTGGAAAATTGTGGAATTTGAAGGATGGCTGTGTTTTAGTTCGTGCATTTTTGGGGAGGAAGCGTGAATTAGGTAGGTTTGCCTTTAAATGTAAATTCAGTTGGATTTCTCCCCTATCCCTTCCTGCGGCCTTCCAGATGTTGTTGGACTCCCATCAGCTCCAACCAGCATGGTCAATGTCAGGGATGTTGGGAGCTGGATCCCTGTAGCATCTGGAGGGCTTCAGATTTTCCATCCCTGCTGTAGACGTATCACTATATTTTTGCCACTTGTAGCAAACTGCACTGCAATTAAAACATTTTGCTCTGTGTCACCATACTGTATTGCACAAATATGTATTATGCTGAAAGAGACATCTGATTTACCACGCTGAAAAGTGCATTTCATTAAAAGTGTTTTCGATGTATTAAATGTGGCTTTAGTTTTGTGTTGTTGTTGGAACCAGCGCAACCTCTGGTTTCACAAATGAAATGGTTTGAGAATGGGGGTTACCTTTCTTAATTGGGTGTCTGCACAGAACAGTGGAGAGTTTTTCTATTTTCTAGCTTCTTCCAAAATGCAGACCAACTCAAATCTCATATTCCGTGCCTATTACAAATCTCCCTGCACAAAAAATGTGAACCAGTGACTAGCTGGTTTTTCATATCCTTAATAACATCATTTGTGAAACTGAAGTTGGCTTTCCAAACATGGCAGGTATGTAATACGTGATACCCTTGCGATCTTTGTGAACATTAATTTCCCCCCTTTTGTTTAAAGGAAAATTTAAATTTGAGAAAAAAAGCGTTATCTCCTAAACTCATTCCGTTCCCATCTCTTCTTTTGCCTCTCCCAGACCAAGATGAGAGAGCTGCAGAACTGAGCAGAGAGCAAAATGAGAAAACCATTCGCAGTACCCAGACAGCCCTCCGAAACTTCAGGGAGTTTCTCATCTCTAAGTATCCCTCGGAAACCCGGGAGATCTACATCATTCCTTGCAAAGAGCTGGATGCTTACTTAGCATCGTTCTTTGTCGATGCCCGGCAGAAGGATGGTTCGGAATACGAGCCAAATAGTTTGGCCAATTACCAATGTGGGCTGGAGAGGTATCTCAAGGAGCACCGATACGGATACAGCATTACCAGGGACAAGGAATTCAAGAGGTCTCAAGAAGCCCTGAAGCAGAAGCAGATAGAGCTGAGGTGCAAAGGGAAAGGCAACAAGCCACACAAGTCCATGAAGCTTACCTTTGCAGATGAGCTTATCTTACGCAAGAGAGGCCTACTGAGCCGATACAACCCCGAGGGACTGCTGAACCTCGTCTGGCTTAACAACACCAAGGCGTTTGGCCATTGTACCGGCTTCCACGGCTCCACCCTCAAATGGGGGGACATTAGGCTTCGGGTGACAGAGACAGGGCTGGAATATTTGGAATGGATGGGTCAAGACAGCGGCGATGGGAGCACCAAAACCAAGAGGACGAGCACGGACTCCAGAGTGTACGCAACACAACATGCTCCACAGACCTGCCCCGTGCAAGACTACAAGGAGTACGCACAAAGGCGCCCCCCTGCAATGCGATATGAGGACGCTCCCTTCTACTTGTCCATCAAGCCAGTTGTTAACCTAGCTGCACTTCATTGGTACAATTGCCAAGCCCTAGGTAAAAATAAGCTGGCCAAGATGGTCAAGACGATGTGCGAGAAGGGGAACATCCCTGGTAGGAAGACCAACTTCAGCGTGTACCAGAGCTGCAGCACACTCTCCGAAGCTCAAAGCAACCAGCTGGTTCTGATTTGCAACAACTTAAGCCAGCAGGCTGCTCAGTCCATGGCGAACCATTCCGGCTCTGGCAACTTCATCGTGTCTGCATCTTATGACTCTTCTTCAGACACGGCTTGAGAGGACTCAAGATGGGAACATGTTGCGTTTGAAGCTGTGGGTCTGTGCCCAGGGACACACATCAGTTGTGATTCTACACGGCTACCCTCCTGACTCACCTTTCCCCAGTGTTAATTCACTTTATTAAAACAAATAATATATAAATATAAATATATATTCTTTTTACAAAGACGTGAATAGAAATAGTTTAGTATAACTTATATAGTATTTATAGTGCTGATATGGGGGGGAATGAAACCTACTTATAGGGTGCTAATTTAATGGTAGATTTTCAAAATGGGAAATAATTTTCAGGCATATACAAGGCAGGCCATAGTCTTTAGGCAGAAGCAAGCAACAATACGCACTTAAGTCAGTTGTAACACAGCCATATCGTGAGAAGACCCTCTGTGAAGACAACATGGTTCACAAGTGGGAACTGAGCACTGGGGACACCGTGCCCAATATTGATGCCCCAAAGTGCTTTTCTGCACCTCCTGTTTATTGCCTTTGAGCTTGTGCAGAAGATGTTGTCATTAAATCATGTCCAAAATGCATCACTTGCACCTAAACATATTTGTTTGTTTGTTTTTTAAAAATAACGAGTGTATATTCCCCTTGATGCTTCATGTCTTTTGAAAGTTTGCTGTTAATATGACATGAATTCAGTATTGTGTGTGGAAGGAAGAGGGATAATTTTCTATTTTCTTTCTTGTCGGCAAATATGGTTCTTTTCCAGCCTGATTTAAGGGGGAGAGAAGGAACAAAGAAAATGGGATGCAGCTTACTGGAGCATTTTCCCTCTATTTTTCATTTGCTCCTTGTGTCTCAGTTGTGCCAGCTTGTGGGGTGGGGAAGACATGATAATGATCAACAAAGTGAAAAATAACAGTGGTCGTAAAAAAAAAGTATAATATTTATCCATATGCAAAAACAAGTGCCATGGCAAAAAACTAGACTGTTACACAAACAAACAATCTTAACTTTCCCTAGCTGAAAACCAGTGTTTTAGCACTTTTGTGACAAGTCATTTTTAAAATATATATATACTGTCAAAGATTCAGCTCTAGATGCTACACCAACAGCCACAATGCAAAACAGAATTATAAGGTTGCTTAAATTGTGGCCAGCATTTGTATTTCCTTGATAAAATACAGCAATAACAGCAAAAACAATGCCCCCCCCCATCTCCCAGAAACCATGAAATGCTGAGAGTACAGTCGCAAACCTCATTTTGTTATTGTTTTAATGGGGGAGATTTTTCTAGGGAATCAACATGAAAACAGAGAGACCTCCCTGCCCCTCTAAGTTCCAAGCACACTTGTTGTGTGATGCTCCATAATAAACACACATGCTTTTTGGAGTCTTTGTCCTGGCTAGATCTGGAGAGAACTGGGCTTTCTTTTTCAAGGCTCAAGCACAGTTGTTCCCCAGCAGCAGGGTTTCCCTGCCATACAGTATATCAAGGGTAGCCAATGTGGGGCCCTCCATATGGTGTTGGGACTCCCAGATTGCATCATCGCCAGCCAGCATGGCCAATGACCAAGGATGATCAGAGTTGTAGTCTGGAAGCATCTTCCCAATACACTGGCTACCTCTACAATACAGTCATACCTTGGAAGTTGAACGCCTTGCGACTCGAACGCTTTGGCTCCCAAATGCCTCAAACCCGGAAGCGAGTGTTCCGGTTTGCAAATGCTCTTTGGAACCCAAATGTCCAACGCTTGTTATGCGGGTTCCGATTGGCTGCAGGAACTTCCTGCAGCCAATCGGAAGCCACACCTTGGTTTCCAAATGTTTTGGAAGTCAAACGGACTTCCAGAATGGATTCCATTTGACTTCCAAGGTACGACTGTATGTGATTCTTACAGATTGCCACACTACCAGTGTGTACAGAGGGCACCAGATTGAGGAAAGCTGATCTGGCCCCATATTCCATTATATACAACTCAGCACTAGGAAATCTGTAGCGGGGGGCCGGGGGGCTTTTGATCTATATGCCACATTTAATCCTCCTGGTGATTTGATTCTCCCATCACATATTTTAGGAAATTTGCATTGTTTCGTTACAGAACAATTTTCTATTGAGCGAATTTTTTATAGTATATTAAATCTCATGCAGTAACATCTGATCGGGGGGGCAACTTGAATAAAATATGGGGGGCAGGAATGCATAATTGATCATTAGACATGGCACATGCACACCATTTGAATGGCAATGCTCATCAACTTTGAGGGGGGGACAGGCCCCTCAAATATTTTATGGGGGGAGGGAGAAGGGACCTCAGCCCATAGGAGTTGGCCCCTATGCATCTGATGTTTTCTAACTCAAGAATAACCAACTATTCATGTGGGGCCTAAAAGCAGATCTGGAAGCCCTTTGTCTGTGCCTGATGTATGGGGCAGATGAAAGAGCAGCTAGGACTTTTGCACCTTTAATTGCTGTGTAAAAGAGGGGATTTCAGCATCACAATCTGCTTAAGGTGCAATAGCCCTGTCTCCATTTTCATTTGGCCACCAAGGCTATTATATAGTCTATGCCCATATTTCCACTCATAAGGATAAAAAAAAAATGTTTTCATGTTACAGGAGCCATTCCATACATAGTTGCATCTCTCTTTGGGAGTTTATAATGCTCCAGCTTTGCTTGAGCACATTGCCCCTTAACTTGTAGCACTCTTATTGGTAGATGTCATCAACTTTAGTACAGAACCTGCCCATTTGTGTAGAGATCAGTTTGTGCAGCAAAATATACTTCCTCTCTTCCCTTGACTGCTAAGAATATGGAAGTTGGTTGTCCCTGTTTTCTTCTAACCAATTCCCTGTTCCAACTGAAGTCAACTTTTTTAGCAGATTTTTTTTGGGGGGGAGGGGAGGAGTAATTTGCTTCTAAAAAATAAATAAATCTCTGTCTTGCCAAAAAATAAAAAAATTCTATGCATTGTGTAATTCAGTGATGTTCCTGTTAAATATGCATGTTTTATCAATGCATTTGTGATCTTTGTAGGATTGTTAACCATTGCTGCTATAACCATTTATTGTAGTTAAATGGGGGGAAATGGTACAGTTTACTGTGAGGGCTGTGCAAGTTAATAGTTTTATGTGTGACATTACAACTTGTATCTTTTTTATTTTTTATTTATATATTTTTTAATCTGGAGTTCATACTAGTGCCTTCTGTAGAAGGAAAATATAATATGTTGTGGTTGATAAATCGTGCCAAATTTTCAAGTCATGCTGTTCTAAGACATCCAGTCTGTGACCAGGGCAAACAAATAGTTAATGTGTTATTTTGGGCCCAACTTTATATTGTTATTATAAATCATTTAAATAGCACTTTTAAAATGTCCTAGGTGGGTCACTATGATTCTCATTATACAGTTGGGGAAACCGTGGCTTCCCAGGGTGCATCAAGATGACAGACTTTAACTGGTTTAGCAATCATTTCTTTTTCCCATGGAACCCAAAAAATCTATTGTAACTGTGAGGGGGGATGCTAAAGATATAACAGAATTCTCAGCTATTCACAGTCTAAGGTTTTAGTGTAACTTTGGCCCTGGGAAAGACTACCTTTTATCTTTACCAAGATAGTTCCTAATAAATTTTTGTAAACCCTTCCCCCACAGTGTTGCAGTGTATTTTATGGGAGGTGCTGTAACCCTTCACAGTGTCTACAACATCATTTAAAGACTGTCATCTCACCAAGCGAGTTGGCCACTAACAAGCTCTCAGTTTTGCAAATGGAAACCAGATAAGCAGTTGAGGTCTTTCCCCTAAATTAAATAACATAAAAGTGAAAAAAAAAGTTTAGGTGCTTGATGGCAAAGGATTCTTGGCTGGTGAAACAGGAAGTTGCTAACTGAGGAACTCTGGATCCCGGTTAGTTACATGATTTTGTGGAATTCTTTATCTGATTATTTAGTAAGCTTCACGGAGAGCCACATCTCCACAGTAGTGCACCTGCTTTGCATTCAGAAGGCGCCAAGTTCAATCCCCAGGGATGGGGAACATGTGGCCTTCCAGATGTTGGATTCCAGTTCCCATCAGCCCCAGGCAGCATGTCCAATGGTCAGGGATTATGAGAGTTGTAGTCCAAAGGAACATAGGTTTCCCATCATTGGTGTAGACCAGGCACCCCCAAACTTGGCCCTTCAGCTGTTTTGGGACTACAATTCCCATCATCCCTGACCACTGGTCCTGTTAGCTAGGGATGATGGGAGTTGTAGTCCCAAAACAGCTGGAGGGCCGAGTCTGGGGATGCCTGGTGTAGACACTACCAACCTAGATGGGCTAATGGTCTGTTTTGGTATAAGGCCATTTCCTATATTCCTGGAATAGGTAAGGTAAAGGAAGCTGTGGTCTAAACCACTGAGCCTCTTGGGCTTGCCTATCAGAAGGTCGGCGGTTTGAATCCCCGCAGCGGGGTGAGCTCCCGTTGCTCTATCCCTGCTCCTGCGAACCTAGCAGTTCGAAAGCACAGCAGTGCAAGTAGATAAATAAGTACCACTGTGGCGGGAAGGTAAATGGTGTTTCCATGCGCTCTGGTTTCTGTCACGGTGGCCCGTTGTGCCAGAAGTGGTTTAGTCATGCTGGTCACATGACCCAAAAAGCTGTCTGCGGATAAACACCTGCTCCCTCAGCCTGAAAGTGAGATGAGCGCCGCAATCCCATAGTTGCCTTTGACTGGATGTAACCATCCAGGGGTCCCTTTACCTTTACCTTTTATTCCTGGAATAGAACGATCATTTGTATAATAAATCAGTAGTGAAGCTATAATTCGGAGAGCAATACCTTCAGACGAAAGACTTGCAAATTACTTTATTATTTTCGTGATGACCTTGTTCTAATTTTTTTTAAAAAGCTAATTGCAATATGCATGACTCTTTTTTATTTTTGTTCCATCCAAAAGCTGATCCAGCTCATGCAGGAATCACTAGGAGTTACTTGCTAAAACGGGAGTTTTATGAAGTGCAAAAGCTCCCGGTCACAAGCTTCTCAAGGTGATGTGCAGTAAAAACAGCAGAAAACAGTTTTGTTTTTGTTTAGTCGTTTAGTCATGTCTGACTCTTCGTCACCCCATGGACCAGAGCACGCCAGGCACTCCTGTCTTCCACTGCCTCCTGCAGTTTGGTCAAACTCAAGCTTGTAACTTCGAGAACACTGTCCAACCATCTCATCCTCTGCCGTCCCCTTCTCCTTGTGCCCTCAGTCTTTCCCAACATCAGGGTCTTTTCCAGGGAGTCTTCTCTTCTCATGAGGTGGCCAAAGTATTGGAGCCTCAGCTTCACGATCTGTCCTTCCTGTGAGCACTCAGGGCTGATTTCCTTCAGAATGGATAGGTTTGATCTTCTTGCAGTCCATGGGACTCTCAAGAGTCTCCTCCAGCACCATAATTCAAAAGCATCAATTCTTTGGCTATCAGCCTTCTTTATGGTCCAGCTCTCACTTCCATACATCACTACTGGGAAAACCATAGCTTTAACTATACAAACCTTTGTTCGCAAGGTGATGTCTCTGATTTTTAAGATGCTGTCTAGTTTGTCATTGCTTTTCTCCCAAGAAGCAGGTGTCTTTTAATTTTGTGACTGCTGTCACCATCTGCAGTGATCATGGGGCTCAAGAAAGTAAAATCTCTCACTGCCTCCATTTCTTCCCCTTCTATTTGCCAGGAGGTGATGGGACCAGTGGCCATGATCTTCAGAAAACAGTTTAGAAATAGGTAAAAGCACCCCCCAATAAAACCCACCCCAGATACTTTTAAAATGAATGTATGAATGGCACATTGCACTTGCTGTGTGAGAGCAGATCAGCTCTGCCTGTTGAGAATTCTGAAGGCTTCTCCGCGATCAAATGGCAGTCAAATATGCAGAACGTAAGGAGCATATTTGCTTCTCTCTCTCTCTTGAGGCTAATTTCCCCTGCTCCTATCTCTTTTAATACTTAGGGGAAAGCAGCTGCCAAGGAAAGAGATTAAAGTAGACTAGCAATCAGATCATCTGCATGTTTGGCTTTGAGCACTATCACCTCCAGCTTCCTTTGCATGCTTTTAGAGGAGTTACCATCAGACACAAGTGGCAACTCACAATACATGACTGATGGGATGCATTCAACCTGGTATATGATAAATTGCACAAGCCTATTTTAATTCAATAATTTTCTTCTCTCCCCCCCTTTTAATGGAAATATGTATCTGTGACAATGCAATGATGGCAAAGCACAGAAGGTCCACTTTGTCTCACCGTGGTCCATGCCAATTGCAATCTGATTATAAGACGCTAGGTGGCTGATCATCACCTGGCTTTAGGATAGATTCAATGGAGGTCCCTGAAATGTCCCATTCCTAGCCAGTTCTGTGCTGCTCAACAGTTTTGTGCAACACTACTGTGCAAACACAGTACAAAAACTGTGGTGCAAATAAACCTTGCAAAAGTAACACAACAGCACCTTCTATGAAATGCAGAAACAGCAATTGTTGTACCCTGTCCTGAAGACCTGCATACTTGTATGGTGACTTGGTGGTATAAGCCCACTGGTCTATCCCTTCCAATAAAATAAAAGGGATATCAAGAGGACTTGAACCTTGAGAAGAAGGGAAGGGCCCCCTGAATGTTCTAGATTACAGCTCCCTGCTACCCCAGACAATTGGCAATGCTGGCTGGGGTTGACAGAACTTGGGACGCCAATGATTGGGGTGCACCAGGTTAAAAAAGGGTAAAGGGACCCCTGACCATTAGGTCCAGTTGCAGACGACTCTGGGGTTGAGGCGCTCATCTCGCTTTATTGGCCAAGGGAGCCGGCGTACAGCTTCTGGGTCATGTGGCCAGCATGACTAAGCCGCTTCTGGCGAACCAGAGCAGCGCACGGAAACGCCGTTTACCTTCCCACCGGAGTGGTACCTATTTATCTACTTGCACTTTGATGTGCTTTCAAACTGCTAGGTTGGCAGGAGCTGGGACTGAGCAACGGGAGCTCACCCCGTCGCGGGGATTCAAACCGCCGACCTTCTGATCGGCAAGCCCTAGGCTCTGTGGTTTAGACCACAGCGCCACCAGCGTCCCACACCAGGTTAGGGAAGACTTTTAAAATAAATATTTCAGTTCTGACATAATGAATTGTTTCTTTGACTTTACTCTGTCTTATCTGATGATTGATTTGGGTAGGGAGCTGCACTACTTGTCCTGGTTCTGTAGGGGAGCCCATAGAGCAAGGCAATCAGCCCAGTACGGAGTCAGACCAGTGGTTCATCTAGCTCAGTATTGTCTACACTGACAGGCAGCAGCTTGCCAGGGTTTCAGGCCAGGGTGTCTCCTGTCCCTGCTTGCAGTTGCCGAGGATTGAACCTGGGACCTTCTGAATGCAAAGCAGATGCTCTATGTCTGAGCTATGGCCCTTCCTTTATATACCGTATTTTTCGCTCTATAGGACGCACCGGACCATAGGAGGGGGAGAACAGGAAAAAAAATATTCCCCCCCTCTACTTAGTGCCCCTTCAGTGAAGCGGCAGGAGAAATGAAGCCCCTTCCATTTCTCCTCCCGCTTCACTGAAGGGGCGCTGCGCAGAGAGGGAAAACTGTGCATTGCCTCTCCAGCGAAGCGAAGCCTGGAGAGCAAGAGGGATCAGTGTTCACTGACCCCTCTCACTCTCCAGGCTTCAGGTGGCTATCTGCAAGCGTTCGGCACGCAGCGGAAACTCCTGCTGCACTCCGAAGACTTGCGGATAGCTGCCAGAAGTCCCCAGAGCACAGCGGGAAGACTTGCGGATAGCTGCCAGAAGCCCCCGGAGCAACGCAAAGCCTCCGGAACACTGGGGGAGCTTTCCCTCTGCGCTTTGGAGGCTTCGCGTTGCTATCGCTGAAGCCAAGGAGCCTGCATTCGCTCCATAGGACGCACACACATTTCCCCTTAATTTTTGGAGGGGGAAAAGTGCGTCCTATAGAGCGAAAAATATGGTAAGAATGGGCCAGGTGGCCAAACAGTTTGACTTTTGTCTAAGGTAGCTTCCTATGTGCTAGAGAAATTCTGAAGCTGAGTGGCATTCAGTTTAGCAGGTCACAAATCTGCAAAACTGAATTTGCTTCCCGTTGACCCGGGTTTATTTTCAGCTCCTTTTGCAATCTGGAAGGTGGAAGGAGCGTAAGATAAACCTTAAAACATCAGTGGTCTGCAGTGAATTTTTGCGTAGGAGAACAGTTGGGGCCAGAGACACCAGATTGCAGGGTGGGGAGGAGACACATTCCAACATCTTGATGTCATGAGCATGAGCATCCTGCCCCACTCCCTAAGCCAGGCAGAAACTTTCTGGGCTTTGGGAAGAAGGTGCCATGGCTCTGAGAGGATGCTGGAGCCCTCTTGCTGGGCGTATGTATGCCCTGAGACCTGAAATGCATGTTACAGCTTACCACAGGGATGCTACTGAAATCAGACAGCTACAATGAACTATTCAACCCCAGCCATAATGCAATGTATCAAGACCACAAAGCAATTTGTGAGATTCCACGTGACTCTCAGTGGCCACCTAGACAGCAGAGCAGAATTGGATGTGGCATGGAGACTCAACTCTGATCAGTGTTGTGGTCAGTTCTGTGTGTTGCAGCTAGGGAACAGCTGGTTTCGAACAATGCCAACATTTATCTGGGGCTGTCAAATTCATATGTGAATGCCATTATTCACCATATTTTGGAGATTCACCATGACACGTTGAAGGTCGGAAGTTGCAATTCAGCTACGGTGCTCCAGCGTGCATGCAATGCATATGGTGAACAAAAGACACATACAGCCACTTCAAATGTGATGTTATGTGCTCCCAATCCACAGTGTTCCATGTGACGCTCAGCTCTCTAAATGTTAAATTTGTTACAAAAGAAAAGGCACCTGCTGTTAAATCTGATAGCAAACAGGGACATCTGCATGGTGAAGGAAATTTGGGGCACTCTGGGGATTCAAACGAGCTCCCTTCCCTCAACTTGTATTGGTTGAGAAATATCCGTGACCCCTTAAGATCCTCATGCAAATTGTGTGCAATTTAGTAGGAAAACAGGGAAGAGCTATATACATATAAAAAGTGAAAGTTTTTTTTTTAAAAAAAAGTAGATTACTCATTTATGCAGGCACTTATATGATTCTCAAAAGAAAAATGTACTTGTGTTTTAATTTGATTTTTTTTTTTTTTTTTAGGTGAGAGCTTGTATTTTACAATGGCCAATTCTGATGTTTTAGTGGGGGGAAACATTTAATGTCATTGTTTACTGCCCATGATTGTATTAAAAAGTTTCATAAATGACTTTTTGAAAGGTTAATTTCATTGGATGTACAGTGTTGACAACTGTTGAGGGGCATTTTATCATTTTAAAATATGTGTGAGTAGAGTTATGCTCTGGTGTGCCAGTAATGCTCAGAAGGTTCTGCTCTTTATCTAATTTGTATCGCACTCTTCTTCCCTATAATTTGGGCTCGCATAGATGCGGAAGACCACATTTTATTCCATAGTTTATGCACCGTGCAAAGAAGTACTTCCTTTCGCCTGTCCTGAATCTTGCCAACAATAACTTAGTAACAATATTTTATTATTTATGCCCCTCCCATCTGGCTGGGTTTCCCCAGCCACTCTGGGTGGCTTCCAACACACATAAAAATAATAAAACACCAAACATTAATACAATCTGATCCAATATAAAACTTTAAAATAAACAACTTATATCAGATAAGGCAATATTCAATAAATCCATTAGAACCCAATAGTAAACAGTAAAATTAAACACCAGCGAATAATCATTAAACACTTTACACTTATCAGTTACAACAAAGAATTACTAATCTATAATCAATAAAAAATATCAGCAAATCACAATGCATAAAATACCACAAAACATACAAAACCATGTTAAAGATTCAAATTGAAAACCAAGGACATATCCCTGAACTCCTCTTCTGTCTTCCCAGCTGCCTCTGCAGGAAAGACTCCCAAGGCTTGAGGGTGGGGCAAGGCAGGTGGAAAAAGCATTGTCTTATGATCAGCAGAAACTCTCTCTCCCCTTAGTTGGTCCTCGAGTTGTTGTTGTTGTTGTTGTTGTTGTTATTATTATTATTATTATGAGAGAGGGAGAGAAACACCCTCTCCATTTTCTCCACACAGTGCGTAATAGTATATGCCTCTGTCATGTTGCCCGCTTAAGTCTGCTAAGTGTCCCACTGGTGATAAAGGCCAGCTAACACCAGCTATTTCTGACTTCCTTCCCTAGTCCTGAGGCGGAACAGTGTAGGGACAAGGATGCCATCAAATCAGTAACAGCAACAACTCCCCTCTGAGGCTCATGGCTTCCTAACTTTAAAGCACATCAGAAGCACAATAGAAAGCTGCTAAGGACCTTTGGCTACCCAGACCCCCAGGCCATCATGACAATAGGTTTACAGGTTGTACAGGCCTAGTTTTGCACATGGAAAACCCAGGATCAAATCCATGAAGGGTCTTCTATGACCCTTACTGGATAACCAAGGGTAATCCATCTCTCTCAGCCTATGTTTTGGGCTGGGAGGACAAAACACCACTCTTGAGTTCTCTGGAAGAAAGAAGGGCTGCAAATGCAATAACATCACAGATCCAAGTCTGCAGGCCTAAGGCAAGGCAGACAGGCAAAATACAAATCATATGGAGGCTCCAACAGGAGTCTTTCCCTTTGCCTGTGTTGTGTCTACAGTGTGCTTCAGAACCACGGGCAAATTCTTTCCCTGTGATTAAAGAAGGCAGCCAGCTTTGCAGAAAACAGTTCATTAAGTTAACATGCCACCCTACCTAGGCACAGATAGAATACTGCGGCTAATGGCATGTGTAGCTAACACAGAATTAATTGGCCATCTCAGTGGATTGCTTTCAGAAAGAAGCTCTCAGCACCATGATCCTAAACCTAAACACATCAAAATGAATATTTTCTTTTGGTTTTAGAAAGAAAAAGCCACTCGCACAACCAGATTAGCATGTTAGTGATATGGGCAGGGTGGAATTTGTGCAAAGTCCATTAGCATGTGATGAAACAGCTATGTGATGGGCACTGCCATGTAGCCTTTCATATGACATGGACCAGTAAATATGGGCTGCGTGCAGGGCTAAGCCAAGGCTGCCACACCTGGAACTATCCCTGGAGTGTTCATTCTCCAACCCAGGAATGGGGTCCTTGCAGCTACTTGTGGCAAAGCCCGGTATCTGAGGCTATGTGTCTTTAAGTACCAGTTGCAGGCCCTGGTTGGCCACTGTGCGTATAGGATGCTGGACTAGATGGGCCTTTGGCCTGATCCTGCAGGCTGGTCTTACGTTGTTACTTCTAGCCCCTTCCTCCAGCATTGGTGACATCCAGGTCTTATTGCCAAGTTGGCTATGTCCTAGTCACCAAGAAAACTGCACCCATCAGGGACTTAGCCGTTGAGTTCCTTTCTTCATGGTTTCCCAGTTTCTCAGGGCAGCATCATGGTTTGAGTATTAGGCTTGGTTTTCCAGCTCTCTATCCACCCTACTCTTATTCTGACCTATCAAATAGCTTGGACTTTTGTGTCAGGGATGGGGAACCTTGTCATACATGTGGAAGAAGAACTTAAACACATTGCATAGTTCCAAAAAAATAGACCAGAGGCAATTTCATCCAGCAGAGCTTTTACTGGTGCTGAAGGCAAATAAGCATAATGGTCACAAATACAATACATTCAGGATTGGCACAGTCCATAGAAATCCAGTTGCAGCAGACTTAACAAACTTACAAGAACTTATAATAAGTCCAAAACCTTAACACTAAGCATACTATATACAGAACACCAGACCAGAAGAGAGACAAAAGAGAAAGTGATTGAAACTCAGGCTCTTTCTGGCCTCCTTTTATAGTCAGCATGACCTTGCAGAAGAGATAACAGAACCAGTTTAAAGCAGCTGTACTCAGCTTCTCAGAAGGAATAACCAAAACAAGAACCTTCTTTCACACAGAGGAGAAAAACTTCCAGTAGCTTCCTGAATCCTCCTGTATTAATCAGAATAGTAAAGATCTCTACACATCAGATCTACACTAAGAAATGCAAACTCCAGATATTGCTGGACTACATCTCCCATCACCCCTGACCTTTGGATTGGACTGATAGGAATTGGAGTCCAACAACATCTGGAGAGCCATGGATTCTCCATCCTTGCTGTAAGAGCATGGTGTTGTGGTTAGTGTTAGACTGACCCCAGGGAGAACTAAGTTCAAGTCCCCCATCATCTACAAAACCTATTGGGTAATAGCCACCCCATGATTTTCTCTCAGGCTCACAAGGACTGTTTTTTTTATGAAGGTAAAAGGCCTAGAGGCCCTATGTGCTACTCTAAGCTCTTTATGGGAAAGGTGGAATAAAAATCTGATAATCTGAGTAAAGAGCAGCCACTGAAAGTGTACTCAGTGTTCTTAAGTGGTATAGAGATGGTACACGCATCAGCCATAAACTATGACAACATTCCAGTCTTTAAAACTAACCCACTACTTCTCCTGCTGTTATGGAAGTTTCAGAGCCTCCCGGTCTTCAAATGACTTCATTTTAATTCACCTCAATGTAGCTCAAGCTCTGGCACGCTGCCTCTTCAGATACGATCAAGGGAGTGACTCTCGTGATGCAGACCAGAGCAAAACTCTCGCTGCAGTTGGAAAGGAACCCTTGTTTTGCTTTATAATTCTTGCCAAGAACAAATGAAACTTGGCTGCTTTCCCTGGAAAGGCGTGTGGGGTTTTAATAAAGAAGAACTAATGGTTTTCTCACCCCGTCTCTTTCTCCCCTGTTTGTATTATTATTGCACATATTAATATTATAATTACAGATAGTAACATTAATAGGAGCTGCTTTGTAGCACACTGGGAGGAATACTTTGAAAACAGAAAACAAATGCAAGTTTCTACAGCATTTTCACATGAAATCAGATCAGAATTTCATTTTTTTAATTAAGTCAGTTTCTGTATTTGGCCTGATATAACCTTATGAACAACCACTAATTCTATTATGCTCTTAATTGAGTTATGTTCCTGTTGTTGAGTACAGCGCTCTTTCTCTTTTTTTCATGTACCATAAACCACTGTAGATCTGAACCCCATGCAAATCACTGCCAGTGCTTTAGCTACTCAGGGGAAAGCATTTTAATCTGTGATAAATTCTTACACAGTTTTATTTATTTATTTATTACTGGGACTGGTAAACAGAGGAAGACTTTAAGGGCACCTCCAAACTGTAGCTATTTTTGGGTGGGATTCAATCACATACCAGGAATAAAACTGCTAGCACTTATGCAAAACAAAACAGGGTTTGATATGGTTTAGAATTGGATGGGGGGGGCCCACGTGTTGAGATACTTTTGTTGCAGGGAGGTTGGACTAGATCAGGGGTCAGCAAACTTTTTCAGCAGGGGGCTGGTCCGCTGTCCCTCAGACCTTGTGGGGGGCCAGATTATATTTTTGGGGAAAATATGAATGAATTCCTATGCCCCACAAATAACCCAGAGATGCATTTTAAATAAAAGCACATACTCTACTCATGTAAAAACATCAGGCAGGCCCCACAAATAACCCAGAGATTCACTTTAAATAAAAGAACACATTCTACTCATGTAAAAACAAACTGATTCCCGGACTGTCCGCAGGCCGGATTCAGAAGGTGATTGGGCCGGATCCGGCCCCTGGGCCTTAGTTTGCCTATCCATGGAATAGATTACCGTACTCTTGTGGCCCCTTCCAACTCTACAATTCTACGATTCTAAGTTTGTGTGTTTACAATTGATTGGTAGCACTTGTGGAACGAATCTGTTTCCCCAAAGGATCAAATTTTTCGCAATAAGGAAAATGACACAAAAATGCTCTGGATATGTAACGAAGCCAATTGCCACAACACAGGAGACTAGCCTGGCTTAATTAGCTTGTGACTCTTGTAGACCCAAGGATTAAAAGTGTCGGGCACACAATTTAGCACCCCAAGTCTTAATTAAATCCTGACACTTGTTGGGTCTGGAGATTATGGTGGCCTGGGCCCCCACTAACTCATAACAGTATAAAGCATATTTGAAAGTATAGCGTATGCAATAAAATTACAGTGCAGTGATAAAAAGATACTGCTCTTTCATAAGAGTTATTAAGAGCCCTTTCCCAATTCGTGAGTTATCTTTCAGCATATATACACATTGCAACATCACTGCACATTTGCTATTCTGGCTTTCTCATAACAGCTGCAGTCCAGTGTCCAGGGATCTGTGGTAGTGAATCTTAGGCAGTGCTTTTTTTCCTGGGGGGGACGCAAGGGTACGCACACCCCTAAACTTATTGTGAATCTAAGTTTGGCCTCATTGAGAGGCAGTATTTCAATATGAGTAAGAAAATGAGAGTACCCCTAAACATTTTTTTTAAAGAAAAAAAAGCACTGCTCTTCATTGTCCACTCAGCTGAATGTGAAAACAACAGAAGACTGTATGTCTGCCAGTACTCAAATTATGGGGGGGAGGGGCAAGAGGGGTCCCTATCCTCTTATTTGCAACACTGTCTAACTTACCACAAGTTAGAGCTGAAGCACCGGAGCCGCATTTTGAATCAGGGGGCCCAGCTCCCCCAATATTGGTTGCCCCAGCCACTCTGGGTGGCTTCCAACACATATAAAAACATAATAAAACATGAAACATTTTTAAAAAAAAACTTCAGATGTCTTCTAAAGGTTATATAGTTACTCCAACATTCATCCAATGAAAATAGGGACATCCTAAGGAAAAGCAGGACATTCCAGGATCAAATAAGAAATCAGGATGGCTTCTGCAAATCCGGGACTATCCCTGGAAAATAGGGACACATGGGGGGTCTGAAATTTAGGTTTGTGCAATTTAAGTGAATTAAAGTGCTCTGTATCTCAGATCCACTTAAGAAGCAAGCAAGCAACAACAAAATGCACCAGACTTTTTTGCGGTTTGGAAAGCGATGGGGCAGGCAAATGATTAACAAGAAGACAAATAAATTCATTGCAAACAAATTAGGAGGAATGCTCATAGTTTCATAACTGCAACACAAATATCAGTATTAATATTACTGGACATAGTCTAAGCTCTGCGTGTGTTTTGTGCAAGCCAATCAAGATGAATGCTCAGTAAACAGGTCATCTGGAGTGTGCGCACACACGCCCCAAGTCAAGTTTTCTTTTTCCAGATCTGAGCAGCTCTGCCAAGGAGAGCAAGAAGCCCATGGTTCTCCTCTGTGACTTCAGGGCAGCTTGGTCAGTCACTTCCCACACCAGAGCATTTGAAGTGCATGATCTCTGAGTGCATTACCATATAGATTTTCTAGCAGAATGTGAAAAAACTACATATAGGGATGCAGAAACAAAATCGGTTATAATGCTGAGCATAAATAGCCTACACATTCCTTATCTTAATAGAGTTCTCCCCCTCCTGGCAGCAGTAAGTAAGGGTCTTCCTTAGATCTTTTCTCAATGCAAAAAGGTCACGTGTATTTTTTCACCTACAAAATTTATAGTGCTTAATATTTTTCATCGCTGGGACCACTGAGACAATCTCAATATGAGCTGTGCTGAAAACACTTCCCTCAGCCGAAAGCTTCAATAATAAATGTGTGTTTAATGGCTGAAGTGAGATTTCCCTGTGTTGGCTCATGGGGGCTGCAATCCTGCCCCTTTAAAAGGAATAGGAGTTGTTTTTATCATGTTTTAAAGACTTCAGTAGGAGCTGGATTGCATCTTCATTTTCTTAATATGCCTTACATTCTTGGCACAACAGCTCTCAGTAGACGTATTATTATAGAAGCAAGACAAATTTACTTTGCATTTCCCTTCCTCTTTGTTTTTCAGCCTATTCAACAAAGCTCAATAAATTCCCCATCTTCAATTTTGATGATGACTTGAAGTACTTTTGCATCAGTGCGGTGAGCCCAAATACGACAAAAGCAACTCTGTATGCTCTGAATGTGTGGCGATACTGGTGTATGACGAAAGGCCTGAAAGATTACATGGACATTACAAAGGTGAGTGGCCTTGGTTCTGATGGTGTACTGTAACTAGGTTAAATCTGCAAGGCAGAAGCTTTATTTATCTGGTGAAACCTGCCCCAATCTGGTGCCCTCCAGGTATTTTGAACTACAACTCCCATCAGCCTTAGCCAGCATGACCAATGCTAAGGCCTTATGGGAGTTGTAGTCCAAAACAGCTGGAGGGCACCAGCTGAGGAAGGGTTCTGTAGGCTTCTACTTTGTTCCCAGGCCAAAGTCCTGGTCTCAATGTTTACTGCCCATATGCCTGAGACCAGGATATCTCAAGGACAACCTCCTTCTGTCTGAACTTCCCTGTGTTTGTTTCTTTTTGGCATTTGAAGCCCAGTTGGCTGTTGTTCTGGCTTCTGAAGTACAGCAGGGGGAATGTGAGGCTGCTAGGATTGCCATACGTCCAGAATTTCTTAGATTTTCACTTTTTGAAATACGGCAGCCCTTCCTATCTCAGCGGTGGTGCTTAAGCTGTGGAATATCCTACTATCTGACACAGGTAGTTTCTGAACTGAGCGAGAATCTCCCAGGAACCTTTACTCGGCATGCAAGGAGTTGGTGGTGCTGGCAGCTGTCTAACCAATAGGCGATGGCCAGAGGTGCCAGCTTGTGAGGGCGATTGGAGGGGCCAACGTTGCACATGTGATGTCAGATATGTGCAGTGTCCCGATGTGATGCACACGTGATGACAGGAGGAGCTGGGTGAGAAGCTGAATGCAGTGGCCACACAGCATCAATGGCTGGCGGCCCGTCCTCATCCTCTTCCTGATGCTGTCACTGGCAGGAAGCTGCTTCAACCCACCTTCCTGTCCACAGGAGGAGCAGCAGGAGGAGAAGGAGATGGCCACTGGAGCTGTGCCGTGCTTGGCTCTGTGCTTCACCTCCATGCTTTTGGGACATTGTGGGGCAGAACCAATCCCCAAAATGGACTTGGCCCCCAGGAGTTGGCACCCCTGGTGATGGCATAGCTAGGGGGGATGGCAGGCAAGTGAGGAGGCATAGGGCAGGCTGTGGCACCAAGGCCTGGCTAAAAGTAGGCCCAAGAACCACTGTTTGAGAAAACACCATTCTGCTAGTATTCAGAGAACGTTCAGTGTGTGGGGTCAACACCATGAAGTCTCTACCAGTTTTACTGATAGAGGTTTGAGAGGAAACATGCAGGTCCCATTTCTACCCAATTACTAAGTAATATGTCAATCTGCTCCTGCTGATAAATGTATGGCTTATTGTATTGATAGTAAATCACTTTAATATATTAGGCTACCTGTGTTCAGGGCTGCTCTGCATTGATTCTCCTCGCTCCTGATCTATCACTAGCCACCGCCCCATGTTTTTCGCAAAATTTCTGGCTACAGGCCCGAGAAGTCTCCGTGTAGCTTAATAAAGCCTGAGGTACAGATGTGAAATAAGATAGCTGAAATTAATCTTGTGATGAGACAACACAAAGAAAAAGGCTCCTTGCAACTTTCATGCCTTTCAGCATCAAAGGCAATGTTATTCATGCCTTCCTCCTGTTTATGCCAGCATCTCATTATAACCAGCTTAAAGCTTTCCTTTTAATTATGAGCTTTATAGAGGCTGTAAGTAGATCTGAGTGGCAAGGCACGATGGGAAGTTTCTGCTACTCAGGTGCAACAGGGAAAATGTAAGAGCTGGACAGCTGTTTATTTAATAGCTGGAAAAATCCAGGCTATAGATCTCAGGGCCAAATTAGACACATTGTTCGATATATGTTTTTTCCTGTCAATGTGCAGAGCTTCTTTAAAAAAATAGAAATGCCAATAGCATCAGCTGGGGAGAGGTTGGTAATATCATAGCAGGCATGGAGGGAGAGTTTAACCCTTTCTTCCCCTGCCACTGAGCCACTGAGGACAAATCCTCACGGAAGCTAGCATTTGCGCTGTAGATGCCAACAGACAATTTCCCTCAAAGCAAATTCTAGCTTTAGAATAGTTATTTACCCCAGGGGTTGGGGAAGGGGAGGGGGTTAAATCTCCTATTCTGGACAGTCACCTGCCCTTTGCCCTTTACAAACAAGCATGTTAAATGCATAGGTGCGTTGAACCTTGGGGCAAGTTTGGCCCTCAGCGCGCCACAAACTGAGATGCTGCTGCTGCAGAAAGGCATTTGCAGAACAAACAGTTGAAGATGATACATATCTGGAAGCCATGTGCCACAGGTAGCGCAGGGAAGGGGCTATATGGAAGGTTGGCAGCAGTCTGATCTGGGCGAAAATTCCTTCCTGTCCCCAGATTTGGTGACTGGTCAGAGACTGGGAATGAGTCACCCTAAGGCAATTCTGTCTGGGGCATTTCAGTTCCATCCAACTTCCTTTCCTTGGTTCAGGTAGCGTTGTATTCTGCTACAGCATGGTAATTTGATGATTGTTAGACATGAGTTAGGGAATAAGCAGGACCAGCCCAATGATGATGAAGATGATGATGATGATTTACCGTATTTTTTGCTCTATAAGACTCACTTTTTCCCTCCTAAAAAGTAAGGGGAAATGTGTGTGCGTCTTATGGAGCGAATGCAGGCTGCGCAGCTATCCCAGAAGCCAGAACAGCAAGAGGGATTGCTGCTTTCACTGCGCAGCGATCCCTCTTGCTGTTCTGGCTTCTGAGATTCAGAATATTTTTTTTTCTTGTTTTCCTCCTCCAAAAACTAGGTGCGTCTTGTGGTTTGGTGAGTCTTATAGAGTGAAAAATACGGTATATATCACCCTTCATCAAAAGATCTCAGGGCAGTTTGCAAGATAAAATCTGGGACAAAGTCCCTCCTACACAGAGAAACTATCTTTAGATATCCTTTCCATTAGATGGAGCTACTTCCAGCTATGAATTTGGGGTGCCACGAAAAGACAGCAAGCAGATAGTTATCTAACATATCATTATTATGCTTTTACTGCTGGGGAAGTGGGAGAGGCAATTCTGGAATTTCCTGCCTTGTAAAATAACTTGGCTGGCCTTGGGTACCTTGACGAGATGTGGGGAGGGCTCTTTCTGCTCCTCCTTAGGCAGCAAAATGTCTTGGGCCAGCTCTTTGAATAAGGAATTTGCCATGGTCCTTGGAACCATGAAGTAAGTAAGTGGTAGAAAGGTCCAAGTTCAGTCCCCAGCATCTCCTGGCAAGACTGGGGGGAAGGACTCTTGGAGAGCCTCTGCCAGACAGTGTAGCATGGCTGGCCCACCCATAAGGCAGGATGAAGCCATTGCCTTGGGTAGCAGATCCAGACCGCTGCCACCACAAGTAGTCCTTGAATCTGCAAGGTCCAGTCTCTGCTAAAGATTGGTTTGGCTCTGAGTGCAGTAGTGTAGCATGAGCGGAGTCACAAGGGCAGTTGCCCTGGGCGCAAAATTCTTAGGGGCACAAAATTTCAAATGAAAAAGGAAGAAAGTAGTAGTAATAATAACAATAATAGTTGTGCACCCTCCCCCTCGCACAGAAAATCTCCCATGTCCACATGGGTAGACAGAAGAGCAGTTGGTTGCTAGATTGTCCTCTGCAAAGGCTTTAGAAAGATACCTGCTCCAAACTAATCCCCCGTCCCGCTTTCTACTGTGCTTGACACTCGCAGAGCTCTGCAGCTGCCACTTGGATAGGTCACCAAACTATTGCCCCTTCATTCCAGCCTATCGGCGAGCTGTGCCAAGTATACTTGCTTTGCCCCGGGCACTGGCAACCCATGCTACACCACTGTCTGAATGCTAATACATTAGCTCAGTTCAGTTTTTCAGTCCTAGCTCTTGTTAAACAAACAAACAAAAAAGGTGGTCAAGGTGGGCAGGGGAAATGGTTCTGTGAGAGTTAATGCAAACGCTCCCATTCCTTGCAAGCCAGATCCCAGCGGTGAAGCTGAACGAGCTCCTTGAAGATTTCTATGTCACCGTGAAGAAAACCGACGGCTCTGATTTCCTGGCCACCTCTCTTCACGCTATCCGCCGAGGGTTAGACCGGATCCTGAAGAATGCTGGGATTGGTTTCTCCATCACAAGCGGGAGCTTTGGTTCTTCCACCAAGAAGCTCAAGGAGAAGCTGAGGGTGCTCAGCAAAGCTGGGATGTCTGGTGCCCGCTCTCGCAACATCATCTATTTTTCCCTTTCAGATGAAGAAGAGATGTGGAGGATTGGGTGCTTGGGTGATGGGAGCCCAGTAGCCTTGCTGTCCACTGTGGTAAAATACAACAGCCAGTACCTCAACATGAGGACACTTCAGGAACATGCTGATTTAATGTACGGTGACATTGAGCTGCTGAAAGATTCACAGAACCGGCCCTTTTTTGCCAGAACAGACAATGTGAAACGGGAGAAAAGGTTGGGCTCAAACAGTGTGTGCTACGGCCAGATATACCATGACCACTCCAAAGGGCACAAGGTTTGTCCTTACTGCCTCCTTTACAAGTACATGTACATCCACCGGCCTCCTTCGCAAATGGAAGGCAAGTCCCCTTTCTACCTGACTGCTCGGAAAGAGACTATTGGCATGGGCAGCGTCTGGTATGAGGAGCAGAGGATGGGCTTGCGGTCACTGAGGGGGGTCGTCCCAAAGCTGGCCAAAAAGGTCAAGCTTGACCACTGCGAGAACTTCACTTTCATCTCCTTCACCCAGGCCTCCCGGAAGTTTGGCTCTCTGAACTCCTATCAGTAAGGGCCAGATTAGGTGTGAAGTTAATTGCGTGAATGCAATTGCTCTGCGTTTTTAATTTTTTACAAAAACCTGTAAAGAGGTTGGGTGAGAACACACTGAACAGCATGGATGTTGAAGGTGATGGGTATTGTAGTCTTTTCTCCTCTGCTATGATCCCAGTGATAATTGCCCCAATCCCTGATGCTTCATTTTGCATTGGAAGGAAAACTTCCCTCCATGTGCAAATAGCAGCTTGGGGGGGGGGGCGAGAGAGCTATTTTTATCAACTTCACAAAAGGGGAGAAAGGGTTAAACTTACCCACCCATGCTGCTCAGCCTCTCCAGCCACTGCTGCTACTTACTTTATATATATATATATATAAAATGCAAGTTAATTACATCCACTCAATTAACATCATGTCAGCCTTATATCACTTCCAAGTCAATTGGACAGCAACAAGAGCCTCTTTCAGTCTGCACACTTGCAGGCTGGCTGTTGTGTGAATTTTAATAAGCAGTTGCATATTTTATGACCTGTTTCGTTAATGAATTGGTTGCACCTTCACACAAACCGAGATCTACCCCTAAACTATGTTATTTTATTAGGACATTGTGCTTCTACATGCAGTAAAATTGCTTTGGGAGTCTGATTTATCAGTGCCTTTTAGAATAGGCTTTGTAAGCCAACTGATCAAGAGAAAGAGGCTCAGTAGCCCAGTAGCTTTATTATATCACCAACAATGTAGGTTGTTTGTAAATGTCAAGAATATATATACATATATGGAGATATATGGACGCGGGTGGCGCTGTGGTCTAAACCACCGAGCCTAGGGCTTACCAACCAGAAGGTCAGCGGTTCAAATCCCCGCGACGGGGTGAGCTCCCATTGCTCGGTCCCTGTTCCTGCCAACCCAGCAGTTTGAAAGCACCTCAAAGTGCAAGTAGATAAATAGGTAACACTCTGACGGGAAGGTAAACAGCGTTTCCGTGCGCTGCTCTGGTTCTCCAGAAGCGGCTTAGTCATGCCGCTCACATGACCCGGAAGCTGTATGCCGGCTCCCTCGGCCAATAAAGTGAGATGACCACCGCAACCCCAGAGTCATCCGCGACTGGACCTAACGGCCAGGGGTCCCTTTTCCTTTATGGAGATATACTGCATGAAATCTAATATTGCTTCCCTACACACTGCCTGTCCTGATTAACTTTTGATCCATTGGAGGCATCCGCTGATGTAAGAGGAGGGGAAGGATTTCCCTTTGACTGTTGCAGTCCTCTGAAAATCTGTTGTAGAGGTTTGGGAGACCCTCCAGTACAGCATGAAAGGTGGTGCAGGGGGGCTGCAGGGGAAAGGGGGGGAAAGGATATTGCCTCCCTTCCTCTTCCATTAGCAGACCCCTCTACTGGATCAAAAGCCATTTTGTGACTTTTGATCAGCAGCACTGAATTTCTTCCAGCGTTTGGATGTACAATGAGCCATGGTTAAGGGATAGACAGTGTATTTCAGGATCCTGCATGGACTGCCTCTGCCTCTGCCCTCTTGTGTGCTAATTCTTGCATCTTCTCCTTTACCCTCATTCAGCATCACATATGACTGTTGCAAAACATTTTTATCAGGTTTTGGTGTTGTGTGCAACTGCGGCTAATGTGCTGAGCCTGGCGCATTCATGACAACACCCTCTTCAGTTTGAGATTGTAATTTAATTACTACATTCAGAATTACCCAGGTTGATTTTATCCAGGGTTAACAGGAGATGCTTGCAACTTAAAACCTAGGCAGAGAGATAGAGAGGTGTTATGTCTGAATCAGGCCAGAGTCTTTTCCATAGATTAAATGTTTTGGAGAAGTTTGATATTTTCTATCCAGGGGATTAACTTAGGTTGGCTCTGAGCGGGGTTCAAATGAGTTTATGTATTCATGGAACAAGATTCTCTCCCTCTACTTTATGTGCTGCCACAACCCCTAAATCTGCTCTGGAGCATTGGGAGAATTTCCAGCGCAGGTTGATGGGGTACACAATGAGAAGAGAGGGAGGGAAAGCCCTATGGAGAAATAGATTATTGGGTTGTTTTTGTTTTCATTATGTATTTTATGTTTTTATTTTGTGATTTTATGTTGTAACTGCCCTGAGACCTGCAAGTACAGGGCGGTATACAAATTTAATAAATAATGAAAATAAATATTAATAATATTGCTCAAGCAGACCTCGTTTTCCACACATATACCCTACTTCGGGCTACACCTAATTCCACCCTCTGGTTCTACAGAACATCCATTTATAGCTTTCTTCATTTGTAACTATTTTGTGGGGGGAAATTACTTTGGCATTAATTAGTTCTGGTTAAAACATTCCTCTCTTGCAGGGATGAGGGGATTTGTAGCCTAACAAATGTCATTGTGTTACAACTTCCATCATCCCTGACTAACCAATAGCCATGCTGACTGGAGCTGATGGCAGTCGGAGTTCAGGGAGAAGTGGGCACAGATTTTTCTATCCTTCCTCTATTGCCTTTCCATCTGAGGCAATTCCAGGAGGCTGGAATAGTGTGGTAGATTGATGGGAGTCGTGACCTACGAATTATATTTTCTACTAGGCTGTTTTAGATTTTGTAACCCTAGAGATACATCTTTGGAATGAGAGACTTTTCACAATTAAAGGCTAATATCTCTTGAAACAGAAGTCGTTTTGTTTCCACTTGTGGTTGGCATTAAGAAGGTTATGTTCCTCTGAACTGCAGGTGTATCCACCTACCTGTTCATTACATCACAAAACCAGGCTTATCCCCCACACACATGGACCGTGAAGTTAATAGATACAAGTAGAGATAATGATTTGAACAATCACAAATAAAGGAAAGTTGGTTACCCATTTTTCATCCATCTATGGAGATAGTGGGGAAGGCGATGCAGGAGATTCTAAAGGCCCAACTTTCTCTGGGACTGTCTCTTCCCTCTCTGAACCTTCCTAAAACTCTTCCTCTGCCTCCTCTTCTCCTGTCTCTGATGGCCTGACCTGTTTCTCTTCTGCTGCCTCATGGGTGGCACAGAACCCCACAAATCACTGCCCCCTTCCCTTGCATCATCCTCCTGCTCCCCTTGCCTCCTCTTTCTGCCCTTCAGATACCTGCCTGTCTTTGGCATTCAGGGGAAGTAAGTCTAATATTTTACCAATGAAAATCAGAGTTTGATTGTGTCCGTCCTGTTTTCCCAACAAGCATGATAAATATGACCTAGTAAGTATTGATAGAATGTTTGGACTTTTATTATTCTTGGCTCTGACGCCTTCTTCTGAGGGAGCTATTGTTTTGGCTACAGTTGGCTGTCTATATCATGTTAAACCTCATTCACCATCTTTGAAATTATGCTCTGCAATAGATGGATGGATGGATGAAACGATAGATGGATAGGAAGACAGGCAGACATATCAGAGCACAATAATTTCAGAGACTGGGAGTGAACAGATCTGGAATTAAAATTGTGTATGTTTCTGTGTGTAATTACTGAGACTTATGCTAAAACATATGGATTCAGTTTCCCCTTCAAATGTATCCATATCCTTCAGATGGAATTCAATATCCTTTGTTTTCCAAGTTTTTGTGATCTTTCCTTCTTCTAAACTATAACATACATTTCAAGGCATGTCAAAATACTCTGGCTCTAAATTACATCATTAAATTAATCTAATCCAGCATTTGAACATACAGTATGAAAACCACGATATTAATGTAAGATTTAAAGATATACCAAATTCTGCCCCGCAAGGTAATTCCCTCACCTTTAAAATTGATCATCAACCAATTAATTGGCCTAAAGACATTAAGTTGAAGACCAGAGTAACTTGGAATGAATAAAGTCCTTTCCCATAAGGCTCTTAGGTAGGATGTGAAAAAAGCATTCTTAATATCACGTTCTCTTTCTCTCATTCTGGATTCATGAATACAAAATAAATTCCATGTGCTAGCTCTTTAATGAAAGTTAGTAACAATGCAATCCGTACATGCCTATTCAAGAAGTCCCATTAAGTTCAATGTTCAATGTGTATATAGGATTGCTTCCTAAATGGGCCAACAGAATGAGCACACATTCAGTTAAAGAAATGGAATTTTCCTCATATTATCCTCCAAACAACCCTGTCAGGTAGGCATGGCTGACAGAGATATGCCCAAGGCAATTCAGTGAACTTCATCGCTGCACGGGGATCCAGTATTGCACAACTTCTAAAACAGATAGGCTCAATTTTGTCACTTCCCAACAAGGACCAAGTAGGACATTATTCTAGTGTAGCATTTCAGTAGCATTTAAAAGGACAAAGCGATATTCATGAGCTATCTGGTAAAAGAATCCTCATTTCTTGGAATGAATGGCTATGCAAGATTGGGTTTTCGAGTATTGTTATGTTCTCTGTTCCAAGGGTATGCAGTTCAAATCTCTCTGAGGTCTACTTTTACATTAGAATTAATTCAAATGGGCTGCATGGCTACGTTAGCTGTGTGTGGGGGGGTTGGTAGTCACACTGTCAGCACGGTGTTTTCCTTTTCACGTATTCTTAGCGAATCTCTCCACTGCCTTTCTGTTAACCTTTCCCTCTTTTTCTATCTTTGCCCCATAGAATTCACTTTTGATTCTTTCCTGATTACCTCAGCTCTCCATTCTGGGCTTCACTAGATCAGGCTGTCTGGACAAGTTTTCGTTTTGTTTTAAAAGTTAAAGATTTTCAGTGCCCCCATTGCATTGTTGAGAGTTGTTGGCGAGGAGCCCTGAGGACTCTGCTGAAAAAGCGGAATAGGCGTGCTTTTAAGAAATACATCTAAATATATATATATATTTGGAATGTTGTCCGTTCACTATGCATTTGGATACTTCTAAAGATATCGCAACCAAATTTTGCATACCAGTTCCTAAGGGAAAGAAAGGGTCCGGCCTGTGTTTGGATTCAACTGGACGCCATTTTGAACCAAGGTGGCAGACCGAATCTTTCAAAACTGTACTGATGGTGGAGTTTCCTTAGACTTCCCAAGCAACG